TTTGCCCCTGTTTGGGTCGTACACCGGCATCGAGACCTCCACTATTCCTCTTTCAATCATGAAGTCACGTAGTCTTGTCAGTGCCAATATCACGTGTTCGGGATCAATTGTGTTTCTGTCGTTGACTCTCGTTACTAGGAAGCAGAGGTATTTGCCCGGGACTTGTGCCACTGACGGTGGAAGCGCTGCTATGCCTCCCAGTCCTGGCCTCTGTCTGAACAGAAACTCTACGTTCTGGTACTCTCTTTTGAAGTCAGCCTCCAATCTTGATTTGAAACTCATGTCCGCCGTGATGCAGATCGCGCTGGTCCTGTTTGACAGGATGAAGTCGCTATCCGTTATCATGATGTTCTCTGAGTATTCATTGGGTATTTCGAATTTCGTTTTGAAATTCCTTCCTATGGTAGGCTCTGGTTCTTCTTCCTCCAGTTCCAATCCGCTTGTTTCCCTCACTTCCTTGAGCTTCTTTATCATCAAATTTTCGGTGTGGGTAAGTCCTACCCCCACTCCCCGGACAAAAATATTTATCGACGTCCCCGTCGATGTCGGGTCTGAATTGTCCTTAGGGATGTCCAGTGGCCTATCTGTTGCTGTCCATCCGAAAAGAGGGTCCTCTGTCTTCATGTAACTTGCTGCTGATACATCGATTTGCTGAATGCTTTGTCCTTCGCGGCTCTCGTCCTTGACATCACGCATCCACTCTAGAATCCTCAAGTTCGAGTTCTCCCTCCTTTCTATTTCACTCTGCTCGAGGTCCGTCTCCAATTCTGGCGTCGAGTAATCATCCTGCGGATAATGTCCACCATCGTCAATCACTTGCCATTCCTCTTCGGCCTCCAGTTCGCCTGCGCTTAGTAGTTCATCGCCCAACTTGTCTGGCTGTATCTTATCGATCAAGAAGTCATCCCCGTACCTATTGTACCTCATACCTGTTCGTTTACGATTGCCCGTCCTGGTTTCCGGTGGTGTTGGTCGATCCGGTTCCATCCACTTCGGTACCTCGTTTTGCTCGGGATCGTTCCAGTCTTCTTCTACAAATGAACCTGCATCCGACTCCACTTCTATCTTTTCGTTGTCGTCCAAACTCAAGTTCTCATTACCATCATTTTTCTCTCTGGTGCCTTTCTCATTCACTTCGCACGCTGGTTCCACCACCAGGTAGTCAAGGCCCTCCATGTCTTTCGGCAGGCACCAATCCTCCGGGGACGGAACGTGAGGTTTCAGATTTTCGTAATGTGCTGCTCGCCCTGTACTCAAGCGATAGAACCTTCCTTGTTGATGTACTTCCGTAATCATGAACGGTCCTCTCCATTTCTTGAGTAGTTTCTTTGTTCCCTTGGGCGGTATGACATTTTGAAAGACCCACACGTATTGGCCCGCTTCGTATGGCTTTGCTCTCAGTATCTTTTCGTCATATTTCTTGCGTTGCCTCGTTTGCGCTTGTGCCGTGTTTCTCCGACATAGCTCGTTCAGCTCTTGTTGTCTTCTGATCGCTTCCTTCACGTATGCTTGAGGCGACGTCCTCTTCCCCTCGTACTCCGGATAGAAGAATGTCAGAGGCATTGCCCTTTCCCTGCCCGTCAACATCATGAAAGGGCTGATACCCGTTGTAGAGTGCTGGGTACTATTGTAGGCTCCTACTACCTGTGGCAGGTATTTGTCCCAGTCCGTCATGTACCTTGAGCAGTACACCCTGAGCATGTTGACAAGTGTCCTGTTCTGTCTTTCTACCAACCCATTGGTCTGTGGATGATAGGTCGTCGAGTGTGCTTGAGCAATGTGTGACCTCTTCATCAATTCTTTTGTTAAGTCCCCCACAAAAGCCTTGCCGTTGTCTGACTGGAAAGTCATTGGGCAACCATACCGCGATATCCAATGCGTTATCAGGTGATCACATGTTTCCTCTGCTGAGGCTGTCTGGCACGGAACTGCTTCCGCCAACTTGGTGAAGTGATCTATTATAACTAGTATTTGGTTATAACCCGATTCCGTCATGCAGATTTTCTGATGGTCTATCTGCACCACTTCATTGAATTCCGAACTCTCGACCGACTTGAGGGGAAACTTCATCTTCCTTGGGTCTTTTACTTGAAGGCATGCTAGGCAGGCATTCACCCATCTCTCGCAAGCTTTTCTCATTCCCGGCCAGTCAAACCTGTGAAGTATCCTTTGTTGTACTTTATCTATCCCCTGATGGCCCATTTGGTCGTGTGATCTGAAGAGCACTTCCGTTTGGTACAGTTGTGGTAGTATGATGAGGTTGTGTTTGTGTAATATCTTTTCCTCATCTCTTCTCTTGCACGCTACCACCCCTTCCGCTGTGTGGTAAAGTAAGTCTCTCTTTTCTTTGTAGAACTGGCTCAAGATCTTGTAGCTGTCTTCCTCAAGTTCCCCCTTCTCCTTGACTCCAGAATGGATCCATTTGGAGAGGTTACTTGTTATTTTGTCATTCTTCTGGGCCCTTATTAGGTCAGACAGTCTATATCTCGCCTTAACGTGCTCCTTTAACGCCATGATCTGTCCATTCATCTCACCAGGATTGTGGATGTCATCGCTCAGTTTCACACATATTATCCTTTTCATGATCTTCATGTCGTCCTCTGGTACCAGATTCGTTCTGACGTTTGAGTTGCACGATAGTTCCCTAAGAGGCTTTCTTGAAACTGCTATTTTCTCGAGCTCTTCTCCACCTCGTACCTCTTGCATTTCCAGATTGTACGTTCCTGAAGATGGATCTGTCTGTAATTCCCTGTCGTGCTGTCTCATCTTCTCTTCCGCCAGTATCATACATAGACTGTCTTGATCCTCACTGTTCTCGTCCGAGTCTTCATCCCATTCTTTACGCTCCCCGGACAATTTTCCTTCTCCGGTTTCGTCTTCTTCCATGAATCTGGACCACTCCCCGGACTCTTGATCTAATCCCAGGTGTTCAATTTCTTCTCTGAATGTCACTTTCTTATCCCTGACTTTTGTTTGCTCCAGAATTTTTTCGGGGATTTTCTCAACTAGTGATCGCACAACTTCCTTGCTATCAGTGGTGATTCCTTTTGAGATGTCAGTATTGTTCACTGTTTTTTCTCTCCGAAGTATGGTTAGTTCCGGTGCCTCCTGACTTTTCCCTTGGATCACGGGTTTGTCATCCGATAGTTTCTCAAGCAACCTCATTAAGTCTTCATCTATTTGGACTGTTCCCTCCTCTACCTGGGTGAGATCGTGACCTTTTGCCTTGAGTGTTTCCCTCACGATTTTGGACTTGAGCATTATTCCTACCGGAATCCCTCTGCTTTTCTTCAAGATGGTCTTTTCAAGAGACTCTTTTGGCAATTCGGGATGATCTTCAATCGGTTTACCTGATTTGTCCAGCCATCTCGTGAGTGGAAGACTGTCGTATGTTTCTTTGTCCATAAAGGAGAAACCATCTTTGATCTCAGGTCTGTCCGCCTCTCTTTGTTCTTGTCTCTCGTAGAACTCCGTCTTCTTGCTCAAGCTGTCGGCATTTTGATGTTTGTCTCGCGTTCTATGTTCAATTATCATGTTGTATCCGTCCAAGCGAACTATCCATCTCCCAATGTAGCTCTGGTCCATTGAGTACGTTTTCAGCCAGCTTAATGCTCGGTTATCTACTCGCAGCTTGAAAGGTTCACTGCCTAGGTACGCTCTGTATTTCTCGACAAAGGTGACCACTGCGAACATCTCTGCTTTCGGTGCTCCGTACTTCATTTCTGTGTCACTTAGGACTTTGCTCCCGTATGCTATTGGTCTCAAGACTGTCTTCCCATTCCATTCTTGTTCTTGATGGAGAACCCCAGAAATCGCGACTACCGACGCATCTGTGTCCAGCACGTACATCCCCTTCTCAGTCGGCATACCCAGTACTGGTGCCTCACATAGCTCTTTCTTTATTCTCTGGAATGACTCTTCTGCTGCGTTGTTCCACGTGAACTTCTTGCCCTTGTGTCTCATTAATTGTTGCATCGGGTATACCTTGTCCGCGTAGCCTTTGATGAACTCCCTGTAATAGTTAGCGAAGCCCAGGAAGCTCATCAACTGGTGCTCTGTCTTCGGTGATTTCCAGGTTAGGACTGCTTCCACGGCGTCTGGGTCAGGTCTGATGCCGTGCTTGTCTACCATCCTGCCCAAATATTTTATTGAGTCCTTGAGTATTTCACACTTTGATGGTTTGCACTTCAGCCCCGATCTTTTCATGCACGCGAACACCTCATCAAGTCTCTCAATGTGGTCTTCTAGTGTTGGCGTTGCTATTACCACGTCGTCCACATAGCACATTACCAGGTTGCCGTACTTCTTCGTCACGCCTATCAGCGCGTGTGCCATCAGCCGTTGAAACGTGGCTGTGGCATTGCAGAGTCCAAACGGCATCCGTTTCCATTGAAACAGACCTAACTCGCAGGCGAACCCTGTCTTGTCCCTGTCTTGTTTCCTTAATGGTACCTGCCAAAAAGCCGAACCTAAATCAAGAGTCGTAAAAAATTTTGCATCACCTAACTTCGATAGGCTTTCATCAATTCTGGGTATGGGATAGGCATCCTTCACCGTGACGGAGTTCAGGTATCGAAAGTCACAACAGAACCTCAACTGGTCGCCTTTCTTTTTGGCCATCACTACTCCACACGCCCACGGTGACTTGGATGGTTCTATCATGTCATACTCTAGTAACGTCTCGATTTCTTTTCTACACGCGTCCGATTTGTGTGGGGTCATACGCCTCGCCCCCTCCCTGTGCGGTACCGCGTTTTCCTCAAGTTCTATTTCATGCTCCACAAAATTACAACACCCGATATCCGCCTTATGCCTCGAGAAAACTTCTTCGTTCCGCTCTAGTACGTCTTTGATGGCTTCGAGCTGTTCATCTTTCAGTTTGCCCCTCAGATGTTCAATCTCCGGCAGAACCGGTTTATCTGTCTGCATCTCATCTAGTGTGGGTCGCTCTGGAAAGTTTGAACAGCTCGACAGCCCATCGTCCGTTTCTGACTTAAGTGATTTAATAAGGCCTGAAGAATATTTAATTTTTTGCAATCGTCTCAAGATACAAATTTTATCCCTGTGATTGGGACAATCAACAACTTCATTTTGTTTTAAGTTCTCAATCGTTTCATATCGAGTTTTAACCGGCAAAGCATATCCCAGTTTCCTCCCTCTCTGTATCGTGATCGGTATGTCAAGGGTATTCAACAAGACACTGACGCAGAGACCACTCTTCGTTATCGAAAATGATCTTCCTAAAACAGCAGCACTTTGACTATTAGGGTTTGGAACTATACATACTTGCTTATTGTCACTTAGTTCATTGTAGTTTTTCATCCTCAAGCTCACGATTGCTGCTTCATTAGCTTTTAGCCTCACTCTCCTACTCAAGAATACCGGTGCTTTGTTTTCATTTGCCATTATTAAATTTACCGGTTTGATTGCGTACCTCCTATCCGGGTTCCGTATCCTGAACATTGCATTATTTAGATCAATCGTTACGTCGAAATTCCTGATGAAGTCTCTGCCCAAAATGAAATGGTCAGATTCATCCAGGTTTTCTACCACGATGAAGCTCATCCACAGGTTACGTTCTCCCAAATTGAGGGCTATTATCGGCGTCCTGCCTAGCACCCGAAGGGCCCCTTTGTTCGCAGCTGACAGCCGTATTCTCGAGTCTATCAAATCATCTTTGTTGAAGCCCATTCGCTCCCAAGTCTCAATTGGTATGACACTCAAGACCGCTCCCGTGTCAAGTAACCCACGTAACTGAGTCTTCTTTCCACTTATGTCCAACACGTGCCCTGTCACGTCTGCTTCCGTTCCGATGTGCATTGCATCTTCTTCAAGCATAGCACAGTGTCCAATCGATCTTACTTTCAATTCCTCCTTCCCTACATAGATTTGTCCAATCAGGTCTTCGTCGCATGTTATCATCGTCTTGGTATAGATGTTGATTCCATCTATGTTTAGCATAACCTCGTGTGGACCGTAAGCTTCAGTGTATCTGTTATCAACACGTACCGACTTGCTGCCCCCTCTCGTGAGTAGTGCCCTGAGCGCTCTAGAAGTAGTTCGTGGACTTATTCCACTCAAGTAGTCTGCATACACGTCAATGTGCATTAACGTCTGGTCGCTCGGCTCGCTCAAGTTTCTAGTCACCTCGTGGCCGCCCACTGTGATTATCGACATTATTCTTGCTCCGATTTTCGATATTCCAAAGGGTTTACCTGTCACCATTTTCACGGTGTTACAATTCCCGTTCTTTGTTGAGCCCGTTCTAGCCTCTGGTACTACGTTCGTTCCGGTTAATGCTTCGTTAAAATTCTGTCTCTCGATCTCCAACTTTAGTCGTTGCTCTATTTCTTTCGCAGCCAGATCTTGTTTCACTTTGGCAATTGCTTCCGTCGCCGCTCTCTCATAATTTATCTCTAGAGAGCTCCCGGCCGCGGACTCTAACGCACCGCTAACATGTGTTACAGCTTTCACTGTCTTCGTCGGCAATTCGGTGTTTGGTGCCCCTAAGTTCCTAGATTCGAACTCGTTTTGCCTGTTCCGCTGATTCTGCACCGCCGCTAATGCCAACTTATGTTTGGGGTGATTCTGGTCCTTGACCGCTTCCCAGAACAAGGGACAATCCATTCTGAAGTGCCCCTCCTGGTTGCAGAAAAAACATCTGGCGCCTATCTTGATGATTAAGCCATTATAGTACTCGTGTTCCTCCATCTGACTCATGTCCTCCTCATCCGGTGCATAACCTAGGCTCTTCATGCCTTGTTTGTACGTTGTGCAGTCAGCCACATGATGATCCGCTGACCCGCAGTTCGCGCATGATCTGCGCTTATCCATATCATCTCTAGGTTTGTACCATGATGACCTCTGGGGTTGGCTTCCCCCTTGCGTGTTCCTGTTTTCAGAATATGAGTATTTCTTAGGTTTCATCAGCATGTATTCTCTTGATTTCTGTCTCATTTCTTCTGGGGTGGGTGCGCTGTCCTTCGACAACGTGTAGTATGTTGCTAACATTGTCCTTAAGTCATCACTTTTCACCCCATCAATGAACTTCGAGGCAATGCTAAAGTTCCGTCTGTTTGTCGACTCCTCTGGGTCACTCCTCCTTCTCAAGCTCTCGAGGTCATCTAGGAACCGATCTATTGACTCGTCGTCCCTCTGTCTCCTTTTTTCAAATCGCATCATCGCTTGATGACCCTTCATGCCTGAGCCGAATCTGTTCAACAGTATTTCAAAGATTTTGTCCGCGGTGTCGCGTTCTTCTTCTTTCTTCGCAACCACACACTTTAATGCCGTGCCTTCTAAATTGCTGAGTATGGCTGTGCACGCTTGTCTTTCGTCACTCAAGTTATCTTGCTCTAGATGTAGTCTCATCACTTCCACCCAAGTGTCAATGCATCCATCGGAGTCATCTTTGAATTCTTTTGGCTTCTTGAATGTTTTTCTTGATTTTCCCTCTCTCCTGTCGCTCGAGTCAGTGTTCCTCGTGGCGAAGGCCTCTAGAGTCCTGTTCATCATCTCCCAAGTGCTGGCCCATGTCATAGCATCCGGTCCTGAGTTGCTGTTGGTTGTTGAATCTCCCGGACCAGTCGTCGTGTTCGACGTTCCACTCTTCATTATTGTTTTCGCAGCTGTTGGTGCTATGCTTATCGCATCCCTGGGTATGGGCAACGGTGTCGATTGCCGTTTGTTTCTTTGTGGTTCTACAAAATCAACTCTGGTGCCTTGCGTACGATCCGCTGCCGGTCTCTCTTGTGGTGTAGAACCTCTCAAGATTGCATCCAACTTCGCCTGTATTGCACACGAACTCTCTGCTTGACTCTTGCTCATTGTGTCCATTCTCCTTTCCAGGCTCCCTAATTGGCTGTTAACATCATCATATCGGTTCTTCAACTGTTGCATGTCTGTTTTGATGTTCTTTTCTCGTTCTTCATTGGTGGCCTCTACCTTGTCTGACATTTCCTTGAGTCTCTCCTCTGTTGCCTTAGCTAGGTTAAAATAACTGTCTAGATACTCGTGCTTGTTGTATCTTATCTCCTTTTTTATCACCTCTCTGTCTTCTTCACTGTTCTTAAGTCTTTTGTCGATCTGATTTAATTTCGCCAACAAATCGCCCAGCTCAATGGTAGTCTCTTCATGGTCAGCCGTGGGTTTCTCTTCGGCCATAGCCTCTGCTTTAGCTTGTTCCTCATTCTGGCCGGTTTCTGTCGCTTTCGTGCTCACTGTACCAAATGTTCGTGCTCTTTCTGCTTTTGGCTCTTCAGTCACGTTTTCTCTCATTTTTATTCCGAACATTATTCCCAATTTTTCCGTAAAAGATGTCCTCTTTACTTGAGAGTCTTCTTTCACCGTTTCTTCGATGTTGCCTATTGCATCTTCCGCGTCATCTATCGGTGAGAACTCTATGGGTTTCTGGTTCGGTTCCTCTGTATTGGGCATTGGAGTTGACTCTGTCGCCATCTTCCCTGTTTCATCCACACTTTGATCGGGTGTCTCTAGATCAATCTCGATGGTGGGTTCTACTCTCTCCCCTTCCGTGCCCTCTTTCGCCCTGTTCTCCGCTGTACTCCTTGTGCTGACCATGTTAACTGAAAAGTTCTTCTTTGTTATCTTCGGACCCATTGGTGTTGCTTTGCGTAGCGACGAATTATACCTTGCTTCGGTCGATCTTTTTTCAGCTACCGGTACCCTGCTCCGCCTCATTATTTACAATTGTTATTATTTACAATATTATTATCTACAAAAATTCTATTCTAAGGTTTAAAAACTCCAAGGAAAAAGAAATTAATAATTCGCTAAAAACAATTTTTCTTGAACTCTTGTAAGCTCTTTTCGTGTTAGGTTAGGATAGGGAACGTGTTGTTATACTTGGTGCTTCAACCTAACCTATTACTTTTGTAGTACCCCCTTCCTAATGCTGTTCCAAGACTTTCTCTTTACCGTCCCAAGACCGTTCAGCGTTGTCCCAGTACTTCTCGTTGGTACCTTTAGACCAGCGTCCCAAGACCAATGGCCCAAGGCTAACGTCCCAAGACCAACGTCCCAAGACTAACGTCCCAAGACCAATGTCCCAAGACTAACGTCCCAAGACCAATGGCCCAAGACTAATGTCCCAAGACTAACGTCCCAAGACCAATGTCCCAAGACTAACGTCCCAAGACCAATGGCCCAAGACTAATGTCCCAAGACCAATGGCCCAAGACCAACGTCCCAAGACTAACGTCCCAAGACCAATGGCCCAAGACTAATGTCCCAAGACCAATGGCCCAAGACCAACGTCCCAAGACTAATGGCCCAAGACCAACGTCCCAAGACTAACGTCCCAAGACCAATGTCCCAAGACTAACGTCCCAAGACCAATGGCCCAAGACTAATGTCCCAAGACTAACGTCCCAAGACCAATGTCCCAAGACCAATGTCCCAAGACCAATGGCCCAAGACTAATGTCCCAAGACTAACGTCCCAAGACCAATGTCCCAAGACCAATGTCCCAAGACCGCTTCGTACCAAGACTGCTCTGGTCCAAGACTGCCCCAAAGTTGCACTGTCCCAAGACTGTGTTGCTCCAAGACTGTCCCCAGACTGCAATGTCCCTAGACTAGTTCGGTACTGTCCCAAGACTCGTTACTGAGTGTCTGGATATAGGATTTCTTTCTTCTTCGTTGTAGGGACTCCTTGGTTGTCTGTACCTTGTACCACCACTCAAGCTCTAGTGAAAATTTTCCCAAAAACCCTCTCTTGGTTGCCAAATCTGGCCCCCCCTTTATTAGTTACCTCTTTTTGAATGTTCCCAGCGATTGGGAGCCACAACTTGTGTGCAGGTATCTTGTGATCACCTGTTTGTATTAAAAACCAATCGCAAATCTTCCCCAAAACGCAACAATGTCTATAGAAAAAATAAAATTCTGTACCGAAAAAATAACAAAACAGAGTAATCGACCCACCTAAAATTCAAAGGAGACAAATGTCAACCTTCTTTCAAAAAAAATGTCGGTACCTAATTGCCACGCGTTTTCCTCCCCCCACTAGTTGTCTTATGAGGTGTCACGAAAACTGTCTATATCCGTTCCCCCCTACCGATCCAACCAGCGTACCAATCTTAACTCGAGATAAATTTTGGATGTCCACCTATTGTTACCACGCGTGTTGATGGCTAATGTAACTAAATCAACGATGTCGATTAACTAGTTACTCTAATTCCCCCCTTTTTACAATTTACAACCGCCAACCTCTAACCTAACCAGTCCCCCTGCTAACCTCCCCCCTGTTTAGCCCCCCTCTTAAGCCGAAAAATCCCTTAAGCGCCGGGTGCTAAACCTCTCTTGAGAAAACCGTAGACCTGTTTCCAGGTCTGCTTGAGTAAAAACTGCCTCAAAACAATGGGACTCCGCTTATCCAATTTTACACTTATTTCTTATAATGTAATGTGGATTCTAACGATACCCGTTGTCCGACCTGAGAACACCCTTGTGCGTCCTCTTGTGGTGGCCCTGTGCTGGTTGTCTCTGTTCTGCCCTTGACAGCAGACCCACTTTCCCACTCGACTGTACACCTCTTCCAATCAAGTCTCTTGGTGGTCCGTTTCGATCCTTGTGAACCTCTTTCCCACTCGACTGGTCACCCTTTCCAGTCAAGTCTCCCAGTGGTCCGGTTGGGTCGCAATCTATCTAAAAACCCTTAACAACGCCCCCCACTCGGGCACCCTACCAAGGTCACTGCTAGTTGATCGAAAAATTGCTAGATTGATCGAAACGATCGGTCTTGTAAAACAGTATGTGTATACTATTTAATTAATACAAAGGTTCGATCCAACTAATTTGGTATCAAAGTCACTGTCTTTTTTCGTTTTATAGTTTTTGTTCCTATTTGTTTTCCTTTTTTGCTCGTGTTTTTGTCCCCCTAGTTGCCCCCCTTTACTCGGTTAGCTAAGCCTCGTTCGGAGAGCGTACCAGGAAGTTTTCTTGAGTTTTCTTAAAAAGCTATCACGGTACAACCGGAAGGTTTACACGTTCCCGCTGAACCGTACCACCGGTACTCTAGAATGGGCATGTAGCCCGGAGCTGTGTCAAGTGGGTTCGACTCCGTAGTCATGATGTCGTAAAAACACCCAGGAGCGCCATAAAAACACTATGTAACAGTCGCCTACTTTAGTCACATATGAGGCTTAAGAAAAATAGGCCCTATAACCATTGGCTCAAGAGTCAGGGACACTATCTCTTGTGTTTTTCCGCCTCAAGAACGGTCGGAGCCAATTCGGTTCGCTTGCGACATGAGACTGGAACCCATTACAGCTTAAAGGCCACTACCAAAATACCCCCCCACTCTAGAAATAAAAACGTCCCCATACTTAGGTCTCGGGATACCCAAAATACATGAACGCCGTTAAAAACCGGGTCGGAACAATCCGCTTAGTTACTTTTTATTGGACAGTGGAACTTTGATCCATTTCAGATGGATCAACCTAAAACTCGCCTTATCTCAACATAACTATCATAAAATACACTCGAGAAATTTAAATTGGAACTTACATATCGACGCACTTGAGTAGGAGGAGTAAGTTATAACTGAGCAGCTTGAGAATTAAGTAATATAACTAAATAAGTTTTAAGGCCAATTAGTTTCAATAACAGAAGTAAGTTTTGTCTCTAGAATCAAAGTCTCTGAATGAACCCTTTGGACACTCGAGTTGTCCACTCTTCCATTCAGAGTCCACTCCTTTCCATTCGAATAATTGTTCTGTCTCAAGTCCGTATTCGATTCTCCTGTTTTCAGGACAAGACAGCTCTACTCTCTTGATATTTCGTATCGAGAAATTGCGAATAGCAATTTCCTGCCTCTTTCTTGAGTAGTTTCCCGCAATTGTTAATTCGGGTGTTCTGATTTCTGACTTTTTCATTTTCAGTTGGTTCGAGAAAATTGAGCATGACATGCTCAATTCGAATTTTGCAAAATTAAAATTTCACTCCAAAATTGCGTATTTCTCAAGGTCAAACCCCTAGACATGACCGACTGGCACAAAGCAAGGAGAACACAAGCGTCTTAATTTAAAAAAGTAATTTAAATATTTAAACTTGATTACTTCCGACTAGCCATGTTGCGTCCTTGTTCCGAAAACCGCGTCACACTAAACTTATGTCCCGTACCCTTGTCAATTCTTCGGCTGATTGTGAAACATTTTCAGATCAGTTTTTTCTGGCATTGGAACTTGTTTTGATGACACTTTTGAGCCCGTACTAGCTTTCTATGAGTTAACTAAAGTGCCCAAATGGCCACAGGCGTGGAAATTTGCGCTAAAAATGTCACTCCCTGCCTGGAGTTCATGCGATGGGATTCCAATAATTGCTAATGTACCAATGTAATTTCTTGTTTTCAGAAAAGAAATGGGTAAAAAGCAGCATCAGGGAGATAAAACATATGTCAGCGCCAATGAATATGCATGGTATTTTGGTGGCAAAAATGCAGAAAAACTCCAAGCTGCCAAAGGAATGGGTTTCAGGAGATTGCCTTTCGATCATTGTGCGCTTTCAATGCAGCCATTTACTACGCCATTTGCTACTAGGGATGGCTATGTATTTGAAATTTCCTCGATACTGCCCTTCTTAAAGAGAAACGGTCAGAACCCAGTAACCGGAAAGAAGTTGTCATCAGAGGTATTTCAGAAATTTAAGATATCCGATAAATTTGTTAAGAACTATTTAAGATAGGCTTATTTCAGAAATTTAAGATATCCGATAAATATGTTAAAAACTAAAATGGAACATATAATTCTGACTTATTTCAGAAATTTAAGATATCCGATAAATTTGTTAAAACCAAAATGGAACATATAATTCTGACTGTTTTTGAACTTTAGTTTTTATTTTAAAAGCAACACAAAATTACTAAGGCACTTTTTACGTTTTAACCTTAACTTGCACGTTTCGTTGTACAGTTTTTTTTGGCTAATTTCTTTATCATTTTTTTTAAAATTCATCTTTTGCTAAATATCTATTTAGTTTCTATTTCGCAATTTCAATGGAATGAGGTTGCCAGGCCTGCCAACTAGTTCATATTATATGAACTAGTTCATATGGTTCATATTTGAGCCAGAGTTCATATCTCATGTTTTTAATTGTTTTTAATGAGTTACACGTAGTGCGTCTATTTTATATAGGTTTTTTATTCCTTCATTTTTCTCGAAAGTTGATTTTTTTCAGAGAATGGGAAAATGTACAGTGTCATCAGCTCTACTCGAGGGGTTTTCTTGGGCCAAAGCAGAGAACCAGGACCAAGTCCGAGTTTGGTCCCAGGTTCATATTTCGTTTTATAAAAGTTGGCAGGCCTGGATGTTGCTAAATTTTAGAACATTCCCAGCTATTTTTGACGTACCTTTAGGACAAATGAGGGTTAATTACTATATCAAAGGAGCGTCAATGACTAAAAAAATATTTTAAAAAGATATTTTAGTAAGTGTAAAAAATATCGAAATGACTTTTTCTAGTGATTGCCGCGAAAAAACTAACGAAATTGTTGTGATTTTTATTATAAGTTTTGCCGATGTTCTGATTTAGTTGGCGAGATGTTGGCTGATATAACAAAAGATTTCGGGAAGAGAATGAATTTTGTTTTAGGATCTGATAGCACTTCACTTTTCGAAGAACAAGAAGGATCAATATCACTGTCCAATAACATACAAAGTGTTCACCAATTCCTCTTTCATCGTGGCAATAGCAACTTCTGGAAATGTGTACAGTATGGAGGCAGTGAATGAGCTGAACTTGAAACAGAAGAACATGAAAGATTTAATCGATGACTCGTCATTCAAGAAAAGCAACATTATTACGATACAGGTCGAGTTATTGTCGTATTCAGCCGATATAGATGGCGCACACATAAAATAAATAGCAATTTTTTCCGAATCTTTTTAACAGTCATATTTTCATTACTTTTAGTTTTTGGGCTTCATTTTCAGCTTCTTATTAGGATTCGATGAACATAGTGAAGACTATTATATAGGTCTTGGGATTTTTTGTGTTTGTTTTGTTTTTCAGGAATAGGTCTTTAAAATGTCCTAATAACTACAGAAGTGCATTCATACTTATTACTGCATTTATGAATGCCCTTAGGTATATGTTCAATTGATAATTTCAATTTAAATTCATCTGCTAAAAGTTAAATAAATTGCGCTCTCTAATGCTAAAGTGTTGATGCCGAGAAAAAATGTGAACGTCTTCTTGTTTCGAAAGTGGTTTGTAATTCTAGATTTCCCTGCGGACTAAAAACTTCACCTATTGATCCAGTTTTCTCAAGTTGAGTCAAGTTTATCAAAAAAATGCCCATCATGAATTGTTCTTGAAATTCAAAGCTTTAAGGCCATTATTTTTTTACTTGAAATTCGAAAGTTGAAATTTAAAAAAATGATTCAGTTTTTTGTTTCAGTTTCCTTGCGTTCATTGACTCTTTCCCTAATGTCTGTAGGCTATGTTTAACATTTTTATTTTTTATTGTTTCATTAAACTGTTTGCGATTCCTTTTTGTATCGTGCTCAACCGAATCTCTCTGAATGCGTTTTTAGGACCCCAACAACGTGGACAAATACAACATCAACAATTTCTACTTTGTGAAAAATGCGGAAGAAGTTGATGAAGGGGGCAAGTCGAACGAAGACATGTTGCGAAACTTGAACAGATCAGCTGTGAATTCAACTGCCAACCACGTCATAGCCGAGCTGGATAAATCGTTTTCTCAGGTAGTTTGATTGTTAGGTAACCAACTTCGGTTCAATTTTAGAGCTTGGATGGAAGATCTAAAATTGACCTTGTCAGATTAAAATAGTTTGCGATTCACTTATGCAGAAACCTGAGAGACTGAGAAACCTAATCTCATACGCCGCAGGTTCCCATATGCCGGACCCTACGCCATAGTTTCCTCCCACTCCTCCGGAAAATGTCTAGAAAAATTGGTCTGCTTTTTTAATAACCTAATTTACAGCAGGATGTAATCTAGTCTCTAATCTTGCACAATGTCTGAAGCTTAAATTCAACCAATCCCTGGACACCGAAAAAAATTAATGAAAATATTTGATCTTTTGTTAAATCAGTCAGTCAGTGGGTTTCCAGCCTCTTTCGAGCTCGAATGTTGCAAATGTGCCGTCATGTTTATTTTTGCCGCTCGTTTATGTCATCAGTTTGCGCTGATGCCAGTTTTCGTCTTGTTAAGCTACTCGTTCATTTCGAGAGTATCTCGTTGCGACCTGAATTTCGTTCATAATCATCACTCGCTGTTTCCGTTTACTTTTCTTTTCTGTCAGTGCGTAAAACGGCCTCCAAAAAAAACGTTTCAGCATAGCCAAGAGATCTTGAGCGACCTGATATGCTAAAATTCAAGTCAAAGTACGCTTTCAAGAACAAATTCTAAAGCGGCCTTCATTTATTGATGTAACAAAACATAAAAAATCCAGTTGTTTCTACAACTTTCTGAATGCCGTTCGGAAATCTTGCGCCAGCTGCCTAATGCCACTGACTTGGGATGTAGGCGATTGGCTGATATGTCTCGTCGGAATTGAAGTTTTTTGGTTTTCACGAACGGGATTCCGTATGCCAAATTTAATTAATACTAAAATTGTTTAATTAATAACAAATTTAATTAATACTGAATTTAGTATCAATTACTGTGGTCGTTGGATTCTGTTCTAAGCAGCCAGCTATACTTGGTTTTTTTTGCTTGTTTAGAAAAGGGAAGAGTTCGCCCAAAAGGTATTGAACGAAGAGACACCCAAAAACATTGTTTCTGGAGCAGTTTCCAAATTGGACAAGAAGAAAGGTCAGTCTATTCCAACTGAATTTAGACATGTATAGGCGATGAATTTTTCGATCATGCTTTGTACCAATAGTTGGTAGAAAAGACTATATATGCGGTCTTTTTTCCTCACACAAAATCAGGCAATATCAATGAGCGTCTAATGTTTTTGGCTGATATATCATTACGCCCTTCAGTCGTAATTCGAGCTGCATTTTAAAAAATCTAAAAGGTTTTCCTGGCGTAAAAAATGAAATTTACACTGATTTCAGATAATTTCAGGTTTTAAGTTACTTGTATTTTCATCAGAAAGCTAAATTTAACGCTTGAATCTTCCTTCATGTGCTAATTTAAGTCCTCTGAAAACATTCTGTGCTACTTGCCCAGCAACCGTTTGTTCTTCTTGAATTCGACTTGTTTTTGCAAAAATGCTAACTAATAGTGTTAATTCAGCTAGTATTGCAAAAATTGAGTTGATGTCCATTTAAAATAATTGCAATCAAAATGACGATTTGAAGAAAATGACCAAAAAATGATATGATAGCGTGAACTCCTTTAAACATGTTGATATAGATTCACAGAAAGGTCAATTGGTTGACAAACTGAACTCGGCCCACTACTCCACGGGCAGGGTGGCGGCGTCTCTCACTTCGACTGCCTTTGATGTGAGCACAAAGCAACAGTCCGAGATCCTGGACGAGTACACTGTCAAGTACAAGTACGTGAAGAAAAAAGGATATGCTAGACTGGTCACCAATTATGGCGATCTCAACCTGGAACTGTTCTGCCAGGTAGTGTTATTTATTTTCTGTAATGGAAAAAATGACTTGATAGTTGAAATTAATTAGCGAATGACCTAGCAAGTAGTTTTGAAATCTCTGACCACAGATATCACAGCTAAATAAATTCTCATTGAAAAACTTTCGGAACTGAAAAAAAGTGGGGAAAAGTTTTCAGATTTTTTAATCTGTCAGTGTAAATGCCTTGAAAAATCGACTCAATAAAAAATCGACTCATCTTACCGAGGAATACATCGGAGGTCTTTTTTGACATGTCTTATGGAATTGGAATTACAGATGAATTGGTTTTAAATATGATACCACATTCAATCATCCGCGTCATTTCCTTCAGCAACTCAATTAGGGAAATCCGTAATCTGACTGCAAGCTAATTAAGGACATGTTTCTTTGTAATTGAGACACATGCTCGGCAAAACATAAGTTTCTGATCCGGATCGAGAATTAGACCAGAGTAATTAAAACAGTTTGAAAAATGATAAAAGTGACGATTAGCAAGTTTTGTGAAACAGAACGTCGAATTTTTGCGGTTAGTAAACTCATCCATAAGAATTGAATAAAAAAATGTATGTTTCGAGCCTACCCGGTAACATTTTTATTTAAATTATGGGTGGTTCAACAAGAGTTATATCCGCTAAATTAATTGCTGCTTGTATATGAGGTTATTGAGTACTCGTGACAACGATCGAAGGCGCTCGGGGCTGAGATGTTTAAGACACATTACTCTTAAACTGCACTTACGTGGTATCAAATTTGATTTTTGAAATTGAGTTTTATTTATCGAAATAACGCCAGTTCTAGATGTTTTTTTACCCTTGCGATAAGCAAGGGTATTGCAATCGGCTACTAGACTGTTTTCCCGCAAATATCTTTAGGCAACGGACTCACTCCTTGTCCTGGACTCCTTCACCTTTTTGCAAATCAAATCTTTTTCCTCTCTGCTGCAAATAATAAGCATGTTTTGAATTTCTTGGTGTTTTAAATAGCGCAGCTTTTTGAAATTTGCTTTTTATGTTGGCTGTAATTTTTCCAACTATATTTGCTAAAAAAATATTTTTTTTTCGGTTTAATAGGTTTCGGACTATGTTATATGAGCTTAGTGGCCTCATACTAAGCGGTTCAATGAATAAAACGATATTTGTGTGTGTGTGTGTGTATGTGTTTTGATCGGAAGGTAAACTTTTTTGAAACTTCTTTCGGATTTTCGTTTTTTTTTTTGGCTTGATAGGATTTTTGCCTATGTTATTTCCTTAGTGGCCTCATTTTGAGCTTTTTGATTTGCAAACTTTTTTGTGTGTGCTTGTATGTGTTATGAAGGAGAGGGCATTTAAAAATTCTTTAATAGTTTCAAAGTTTTTGAAAAAAATTTATTGGATTTTTGTTTTTTTTTGTCCTTTTTTCCCGGCTTAGTATGTTTGTTCCTGTTTTGTATCAGCTTAGTGGCCTCATTTTGCGCGGTTTGAACGGCAACAGGAATTATTTCTGTGTGCGTGTGGGTGTTTTGAGGGAGAGGGAAACTTAAGTTTTTTTATTAGTTTCAATTTTTTTGAAATTTTTTAACGCATTTTTGTTTTGTTCTTTTTTGGCTTGATAGGATTTGTGCCTATTTTATATCGTCTTAGTGGCCTAAAGACGAAATGCTAAATTTAGACGAATTGCTTAATTGAGTCTGTTTGTATTTGGTGCTAAATTGCATTGGCAATTTGTTAGCATATGTAGCTGCTTTGTGACTAGTGTTTATCGGTTATTAAGCTTCAGTAGCTGAGGGGATAGTGCATAAGACTCAAAATCTCTTGATTGCAGTAGGTCACTGATGCGAATCCTACTCGTAGCCGAGTTATTGGTAAATCGAGGCTCATTTCTATTTTTTCTAATTTGTTAGAGCTGCTGTTTGGTCGTGTTCTCGCAAGTGTTCGCGAAGCGCAGCTTCACCTCCGTGTTACTGCTTGGAGAATTTTCTTCCTATAGTAATTTTGCATTCGTTTGTCCGGGCATGTGTTTTTCAGGTCTATCTCATTTTGATAGATATAGTTGCATGTAAAATAATAGAATTTCGGTTTTTATTTTTTGGCTGGTGGTTTTTCGGCTTTATTGTTGACTAAGTTCTCGGTTTAGTTTCCAAAATGTATATATCACCTTGACTTCAGTACATATATATGACAAGCGTGGATACCTTAAGCAGTGCATCGTTTTTTATCAATTGTGTTTTACCGAAAAATATTGGTTGAGTTTCAGCTTATTGGCTGGCTGCTTTGATTCAGCCGGCTGATTTACCATTTATCTCGTCTACATATTCCCGATATCACGTGACAATAGATAAGACCCTGATGCCAAATTTTCAATTTTTTGAAAGCATCGCCATTGCGACCTCTTAGAAATAATTCGTTTATGTAGATCGTTTTTTTTTTTTCAATTGTAACATCGTTGGAGTCCTTTTGATTAGTTCTTGAGCTTCATCCTGTTTACCCTGTATTTGCTGTATCGCAAGTGGTGCGAAGCTCAGCTTCTCCTCTGTGTCGAAATTGAAATACTTTAGAGGTGGTGTAACTTGAGCAATGGTACCCGAAAATTGAAATATCAAAAATTGAAGGCAGGCAGCTAACTGCCCTTTTTGGAGTTCTTCCACGATGGTTTTTTTTTTGGGTAGTAAATAAATAATCTTGCGATCAGCAAGGGTCTGCCAATCGGGGACTTGTGTCAAAATTGAAATACGTTAAAGGTGGTGTAATTTGTGCAATGTTACCCGAAAGTTGAAATATCAAAATTTGAAGACAGGCAGCTAACTGCCCTTTTTGGAGTTCTTCCACAATGGGATTTTTTGGATAATTTTTGTAATTAAATAACCTTGCGATCAGCAAGGGTCTTTCAATCGGGTATTTGATTTTTTTGTAACTAATGTTGTTCACAGAAAGGTCAATTTAGTAGGAATGGAAAATGTCACTTCTGACAGGCCCAATTTGTTAAAAATATTAATAAAACTACCATGCTATAGCTATTAGTTAGGTAAAATTTGTTTCAGATCGTATTTTTTTTAAAATGTTCAAAAAAACTTTTTTATTCAGATTCGTGGTTTTCATCCTAGTTTTGGATGGTTCCTTTTCCCTTTTTTAATGCCATTTTTTATATCTGGTACGGCTTTTAATCAGCTTGCCTTCTAAAGCGTTATCAAATCGGATTAAAGACCTTTTTTGGTTCAACAACCAGTTTAACGAAATCAATTGAATCAGCTAGCGTGGACGTTCTGATGGCAGAATGTCTGACAATACATTTTTTGAGCATGTTTGCATTTTCAATGGGCGTTACATTTGCATTTTCCTTGTTGGTTGTAAATCCACTCTTCTATATATTTTCCGCCTTTTTTTTTACTTTTTTCTATTAGAGGTTTTTTTTCGGCCTAAATTGTTTAGGCTGATTTTATATCCAATAAGTCGCCCAATCTTTTTTGGGCAAAATTTTGATGGGCAAAATTTTTAAATTTCATTTGTGTTTTCGGAGTGGGCGGTAAACTAACTTGGGATTTTTTTTGGCTCACAATGTTTTATAGCTTAAATAGACATTTTGTTTTCAACTCAACAGTCGTTTACCCAAGTATATTCAGCTCAGTATCCGCTTAACGAATTTTCGAATTCATATTGAAAGCCTTCAGTTCTCTTTCTTTGTATTTTTCCTCAAACTAAACCGCATTCCAGAGGAACGTTAGAAAAATCAGTTTTTTTGAAAGTTTGTTGCATTTTTTTTACTCAGGCTTTTTTTTTTGGACTAGCTGCTGTGATGGTTTTTGTTGAATCGCAAGTGGTGCGAAGCTCAGCTTCGCCTCAATTTTTCAATTAAACAGTTTCGGTTTATGTGATATCGGCTTAGTCAATGTTTTGCGTAATTTTGAGTGCAAAATATATCCTAAGACTATTAAATGTTTCAGTATGGATGGGTTCTAAATTTTTTAAAAAATTTTCAATAACCTTTCAATAACAACAGTTTTGTTTTCGGTTCAATAGCGGTCAACCCAAAATTTTTTTTCTGTTTTCCGCTCGATAAATGATTCCCAATGCATTTTAAGGCTGTACATGAACATAATCTGCCACAAACATGAAGTTTGTTTTCGACTTTTTAAGTTATTTTTCCAAATTATTATTCCAACTTCATATTTCAGGAAAAATTTTGACTGCTTTTTTTTCATTCACCATGTACCGCATTTTTTTTGTATTGCAAATTTACATTGCCATTTAAAAATTGCCCTTTTCTTGACAACAAGCATAGTTTTTGTTATTTAAGTTACCGAATTTCTTGAATGCATTGATATTCTAACTGTCTTTGCTATGTTAAGGATGTACCGAAGACGTGTGAGAATTTCATGAAGCATTTGGTGAGTGGATACTACAAAAACACCATCTTCCACAGACTCATCAAGCACTTTGTGCTACAGGGAGGGGACCCCACGGGCACAGGCACAGGGGGTCAGTCTAGCTTCCCAGGTGGAGAACCATTTGCAGACGAGTTCAAGGTAAAATGCGGAAGTGCTTTTTTGACCTTATCAGTATTCTCATCCAGGTAATTATATATCCTGAATTTCGATGCCAAATTTTTATTTTTACTGCCTGCGACCTGGGACTATAATGAGAACAAGGATAGCCGGTTGCTGTGTTGGTCCCTTTTTTTCAGAGTCGATGAACGTAGTTTTTTTTTTTTCGTTTTTCAGGAATAGTCTTAAAATTTATTCAGGCTCAAATTTGATGTTTCACGGTTTAACTTTTGATGTTTTTCAAGTTGAGCTCATTTCCTTTGTTAAAAAAGGCAAACTCCACTGTCGTAGAGTGAAAGTGTAAAGGTCGCGAAAAACGTGATTGATTTTTAGTCGAAGTGGAAATTATTTGGGTTAATTTTATCAAAAAGGGTCAATCATAGATTGTTCTAGAAATTCAATGCGGCAATTAAATTTAGGCAGAATTGACAACAGTTGTCTTCGAAAATTGAATGAGAAACTAAAAAATTAAATGTGTATTTTATGTGGTACGATCATTGCACCCGGCTGCAAATGTAAAGATGAACAAGTCCGAAGTTTTTGAGTTCTAGTCTAATTTCGAGCGAGTATTTTTTTTTCGATATATATATAAATCAAAATAAAAAATACCGTCCAAATTTGAAAATCAGAATCAATTGTTTTTTTTAAAACCTCATATATATCCTTACCCCGTAGCAATGAAAAAAGAACAAAGTGATTTCTTTTCTAATTTTTCAGCAAATGTTCTTGTTTGGGCTCTTATTCCTCACCTGCGAATTTCCACTCTTTTTTCTGTTCACCTTGTCGGATTGTTAAAAAAATTGGCAGGCGTACTAATAAGGCTATGACAAAAATAATTGGTCTTCCTACCCTCTACCTTGTTACACTCCTCGTTGCACCATAAGATTGATGCTTGTGTGAGGATGTGGGGATAAGAGCCGAGTTATCTTATTTTAAATTCTTAAAAAACAATTGATTCTAAATTGAGTTGACCTAGTTTAAATTGAAGATTTTCAAATTTGGATAGTATTTTTTCGTTTTGAAAAAAAAGCGGTTTTCTGAGCTCTCCCGAAAACACTAGAAACCCTATTACGCCAAACGACTTTCTTTTTTCAAGTTTCGGTCGATTTTTGCGCATCGTGTAATGTGAGAGTTGAGATGTAAGCCTAAATCGTTAATTAGGAAGGCAGGTATAATCTACGTTTGATTTTAAAACCAATAAAAGACATTAAGAGTCGATATTGAAATGTTTCAGAAGGGTTGAAGAATTTTTTTGAGCTGTCTTTAGACTTGCGAGAGCAATTTTCTTGTAATCGGGAACTAAGTTTTTTCCCGTAAACATCTTTCTTACTACTTTTTTGAAAGAAATACGCGCAGTTTCTTTAACATGCAGGCTAGGATAAGCTCAATTTCGTAAAAATTCAAATACAGCCACTGAGTCCTATTTGGGCTGTGGTTAACTATTGAAATTAAACATAAAAAAACATGTTCATATTTTTTGGATCGTAGTTTTCAACGGCTCAATTTCCGTTTTTTTTTTCAAATGTATTTTTGTTATCTGGTACAAATTTTTATCCGCTTTTTTCAAATGAATGGTTATTTTATTCTGATGTAAACAGCTTTTACCATGCTTCAAAGTTGTGCTGTAATTTGTAAATTTACCAACTCTCATTTTGATTTTTTTTTTTTCGATTAAACTGTTTCGGCTGATGTTATTTTGGTTAAGTCACCTCATATTGCTAAGTCGAGAGTTGTTGCTTCTTTAAATCCTCCTTTTCCTCCTCGTCCTCAGATCCTACCTGCGAAGTTCGACTTTGGCTCACCATTTCTAATTATAATAAAGCGGATGAATTAAGCTATCCAAACAAATTTGGTCTCCATGTCTAATCTAAAACCGCCTTTTTTTTACCATAGTATTATTGCTTAGGCAAAAGAAAAGAGCCATAGCAAATATTTCAATTGTCTTCTGTCGTTTCAAGCCTAACCTGACTCATTCTGCGCGTGGAACTCTGTCGATGGCGAACTCTGGCCCAGATTCCAACAAGTCCCAGTTCTTCGTCACCTTCAGACCCTGTCAGAACCTGGACGGGAAACACACTGTGTTCGGCAAACTTGTCGGGGGTATGGACACCCTTAGCAAGATAGAACAGGTTATTAGTTCATTAAATCGATGTGTCAAAAAAATCGAAAATGGGCGAATTAGGTCAGTTATCCGAAGATGCGTGAATTCGCAGTTGTTGCACTAATTGTCGTATTAGGAACATTCCTTGTTGCATGCACAGAAACAGGCTCTTTTGTTATAATTTTATGTAGTTATGTTTTGATCTACATGAATTGCGAGCGTGGTTTTCATTTGATGGTTTTGCATTGCTGTCTGCTTTGTTAGGTGAAAACAGATAGCAAAGACAAGCCATTGGATGATGGAGTGCGTATACTGGACACAGTGGTGTTTGTGAACCCGTTTGAGGAGGCGGAAGCCCTGATTGAGAAAATGAGGAATGAAGAGAAGAGGACTGAAGATGAGAAAAAGGTGAAAGAAGAGCGAGAGCAGCGAAAACAGCAGCAGGTGAGTGAAACACGACAAGGAGTTTGAAGGAGGGGGATACCGGGATGTTTGCGAAAATAGTATTTTTTTTCAGCTCTGTCTAAGTCCGCTCGTGGGAAGTACGAATTGTAGGAGAATCTCAAATTAAGTATAGAAAAATTTGATTCTATGAGCTAATGATGAAACGGTAATAAAAATTGAATTAAGTCGTCATTTATGTTAATACAAAAGTTCACTGGTTTTATATCTAATTTACTGATCAATTTGATTTTTGCTTTTTAAATTGCCAATTTTTGTGGAGATAGTAAAAGTTTAAATGGGCATAATTAAATTGTGAAGATTGGAACACATCGGTTGAAGGGAGCTTAGACTCATAATGCTGCAAAATTGTGGACAGAATTAAACGAGCATTAACGTATTTAGTAAGAGTCTTGAACTTGATGAATACTATATATAGGTCCTGATTTTTTTTTTGTTCAGGAAAAAGTCTAAAATTTGTTGACTATCAAATTCGATTTTTCGCAGTTTTGATTCTGATTTCTTTTCAAGTTGAGTTCATTTTCATTGTTAAACATCAGGCAAAGTCCACTATTGAACAGCAAAAAGGTAAAGGTCACGAAAAATGTGATCGATCGATTTCTAGTTTTGAATCAGGTTTTTAAATTTTCAGATTTCCTAGCGTAATAAAAATGTACCTATTGATCCTAGTTATTGCAATCGGGTAATAGACTTTTTCCCGCAAAATAATTTTGTTCACAGAATGGTCAAAATTAGAAGTGGTAATATTGGGTTCAGTTCAAAACGAATTCAAATTTCTTTGTGTCTCGAGCACAGTTGCACTGGAGATAAAAATGCGCCTGGGACGACAAAGGACCTGGGCTCGAAACTGACCGGAACTTTTTTCAAACGGGATATTATTCCGTTTTAAAAAAAATTGTCCTCTTATTGTCTGTTTAGTTGCCATATTGAAGAATTGTTTTAAAAGTTTTTTTTTTTCATTATTGTTTGTAATTTTTTAAATCTCGAAATCGTATTTTTCTTTTTTGTTTTTTTTTCAATTTTTATTGAGCCCAAATGATTTCGGCCCCTTTTTTATCAATTTAGTGACCTAATTTTGAGTCGTTTCAATTGAAACATATTTATGCTCATCTCTGGATCGCACAAAATACTAAAAATCTTAATGAAAATTGTAGTTCAAGTTTTTCTTGACTACAATTTTTTTTCGATTTTTTTCTTTTTTTTCGGCTTGAGACGTTTCGACCTGGATTATATCGGCGTATCGGCCTCATATTGCGTCTTTGACGAGCGAAAAATTTTTGTGTGTGCGTATCTGTGTTTTGTGTGTGCGTATCTGTGTGTGAGCGTTAAGACTTCTTATTAGTCTTAAATCAGCTTTTTTTAGTTTTCTTTTTGAGCTTTTTTTTGTCGGCTTAAAAGGGATTCTGCCAAGGTATTTTCGGCTTTGTTACCGGTGGGTAAATTATCTTCTGTTGCTAATTTCACATTGTTGTGTCTCGGAAAGTTTTTGATTCAAAACTAGCTTTTTTCATTTTGATAGATCTAGTTTTTCCGACATTTTTGATTTTTTTAAATTTCTTGTTTTGTGTCACAAGCGTGTAAAGCTCTGCTTTGCCTCTGTGCTGAAATTCAAAAAGTGAAGTTTTCAAAAAACAAGTCTATATTTTTCTATTTTGTTGCAGTCATGACTCAAAGCTGTTTGATTTTTTGGTCCTGTTTGAGTAGTTGGTCCTGTAAATGAAGACTGAATTGCATCAGCTCTTCGCTAATTGAAGTCTGAATAGCAGAAAAAAAAGAAGATGACTGAGATAATTTGTTATTTTTATACAGGCATTTTTTAAAGAGTCGATGGTCGTTTTCTTTTATTCGTAAGTATTCATTTTTTAAAGAGTCGATGGTCGTTTTCTTTTATTTTTTTATAGGTCGTTTTCTTTTATTCGTAATTATTTTTTCGTTTTAATCCGGCTAAAAATTACTTTTTGCGGTTTGACTTCTGATTTCTGTTCAAGTTAAGTTCCTTTCCTTTGTTAAAAGGAAGGCAAACTCCACTATTGAACAGCAAAAGTGTAAAATTAGGAAAAACTTGATCGACTTGTAGTTTCGAAAGTGGAATTTAATTCTCGAATTTCGAATTTACCAGCGAAACAAAAATTTTATATTCTTATCCATTTTTCTCAAATTGGGTTAATTTTATCGAAAGTGTCAAACATTCATTGTTCTAGAAATTCAAAGAGCTTAAACGGCTTTTTATACTTCGAAATTCGAAAGTTTAGATTTTTTCATAAAACAAGTCAGTGTTTTTTTTTCTTTTTGCTTGCGTTCCTCTTTTCCAATTATATGTTGGCTGTTTTAAAACACGAATCACGACTGATAAGTTGAAAATTTATACCACTCTCGGTAACTTAGAGTGTTCTCTATGGTAAATAATTTTGTTTCAAAGAGTTTTTTCTCGCCATTAGATGGCCATTGAAGCCATAATTGCCTGAGTTCATCAAGTTGTTAGTTCACCTGCTTATTATTTTTTGATCATTGGTTCCGATCATCCAAAAATTGAATAGGAAATATGGCTCAAATGTTATTCACCCAATTTCAGGTACCTTAAAGCAATGTAGTGATACAGTGTGTTATTAGCTTGAAATTTTCCAATCGTGTTTGAGATTAGTTGTTTCCTGTTTTTTTTATTTTTTCTGTTTAAAACAAACAATATTTCGAGTAGCAGCTGCTTACATATGAGTAATGAAGGTGGTGAAGACTCTCATATAGATCTTGGTGATTTTTTCAGGAAATAGTCATAAAATTTGTTCACACTTAATTTTGATTTTTCGCGGTTTTAGTTTTCGAGTTCAGTGCACTTCAGTGGAACGCAAACTCCATTATAGAATAGCAACAGTCCAAAGGTTACGAAAAACGTGATCGACTTCTAGTCTCGAAAGAGGAATATAATTATCATATTTCCCAGCGAAATAATAATTTAAATTATTAATTCAGTTTTCTCAAATTGGGTTAATTCTATGAATTTATTGTCAATCGGAAATTACTCCAAGAGCGTTCTAGTTATCTATTTGTTTCTTCGAAATTCGAAAGTTGAGATTTTTTTTCAAAAAACTAGTCAATATTTTTTTGCTTACTTTCATTCGTTGACTCTTTTCCAACCGTGTGTTGACTACGTTCTTTAAATTGTCGTTTTTTAAGATTAATGAACGTAGTGAGTACTCTTATATAGGTCTTGCTGATTTTTTTTTCAGGAAAAAGTCTTAAAATATTGTTAGGTATGCTGCACTTTTTGAGTTCAATTAAAATTCATCTGCTGAAAGTGACGATTTCTAGTTTCGAAAGTGGACTTTATTTTTAAGATTTCCCGGCGGAATAAAAACTTAACTATTGATCGAGTTTTCTCAAGTTGGTTTCATGTTATCAAAAGAGCTTAAAGAGGCGACTTTTTTGTTTTGCTTTTTTATTTGCTGGTAATCATAGTAGTTCATTTTTGTATCGCAATTGATGCGAAGCTCCGCTTCGCCTCTGTAAATAGTAATAAAGTTGATTTGTTTTTTTAACATCTTTTTCAAACAATTTTGTGGCTTGTTCCGTTGTCACATTTTCTGTCGGCTGGTTGACTTAGCTGTATTTATATTGGATCATTTGGTGTGTGAAACTCAGCTTCGCTTCTAACTAAGTTTTTTGATTTCAGCTGGTCAAATACAAGACGTCTGGAGTGGGACAGTATTTGAACATATCAAAGTTAAAACGAGACTTCAGCTCGCAAGAGCCCAAATCCAGTCAGTCGAAAGTTGGATCATCCGATATATCTAAAAGCAATATTACTTCAGTACTTAGTGAAGAAACGCAGTTCAAATTGGCAGCTAAAAAGCAGAAATTGGGAAGCAACGTTTCACGAACATTTGGGAATTCTGGGTTTTCAGCGTGGTAGATCCAATAGTTGCTGTAAAGCAGTCTGAATCCTTGATGCTGCCCTTTCTGCTGTTTGGCAGTTTGCTTTTTGCTCTCCAAGACCACGTCCACGTTAAAGGCGAAAAAGTGGGCTCAGGAAAATAAAAAACTAGAAAAAACTGAAATCGTCTTTAGACTTAGTTGTATATTCACTTTATGATATTGTGAAAAATATGGGAATCCTGCATTGCTGAAATGATCGACTGAAGTTTTGTTGCGCTGGCTAATTTTGTGAAACCTTTACGATCTTTTTCAGACTGTGAGATGATACGACAATATATGATAGTATAGGTGTTTTGACTGTTTGGCCGGCAAAACAATACAAACTATTTGAAGTCGGTGAAGCATGATCATTCCGATCCGTTGTTTCACATGTGGCAAAGTGGTAGGCAACAAGTGGGAGGAGTATCTGGGTCTGCTCCAGTCTGAGTACACAGAAGGAGATGCCTTGGACTCCCTCGGACTGAAGAGGTAAGAGGTACAACTATTACTATTCAATGGTTCTAATCTATCAGTTCAATTGACTGAATTGCTTTTGACTAGTATGTTATGACTTATTTAACAATCATTTATATATGAGGAAGAAAGACTAAATAAAGTGTAAGCACCTTTTGAGTTTTTAAGCTAGACGTTTTTAGCACCATTGAATACGATTGGATATAAATTTCGACCATGAGCGAACCATAAAAGTGACCATGAGCGAAATGATTTTTGACTCAGTTAAGTCGTATGGTTTTCCAGGATGAGGTCTGAAAATAGTTAATTTTTTAAATTAAATTCATTTCATCAAAATCAACCAGATGGAAAGCAAACTACGCTCTCTGATTAAAAAATGCAAATGGCGCAAAAAAATGGAACTTCTTCCATTCTTCAGGTACTGCTGTCGGAGGATGCTGTTGTCGCATGTGGATCTCATCGAGAAACTCCTCAACTACGCGCCCCTGGAAAAGTGAAGTGATTATTCTGCTTATCAGGAACCTTCGGTAACATTATCATACTACCTGTTTTCACAGCACTCGTAGACTTCTCGACCTTGGAAGTGTAGTCAGATATGCTGCCATGATAGAACTATATTTATCGATGCTTTGATTTTTGTCTTGAGATTAATTTAATTGTTTGAGAGTTATTTTTTTCTCAACTGAATATGAAAACTTTTTACTACCTGCTGAGATGGTTTTGAGATAAATTGAATCAAAATATTTTCAAAGTTTAATTTTTTTCCAAGTTATTCCGACAATTTTCAAGTGAGTTTTTATTAAAGCGACTGCAAAATGACTTTCTTATTGTAATTATCTGGCTTCAAAGTTTGAATTCCAAGAATTGAAGCTTGTTCAAAGTTGTCTAATAGACCGTCTGGATTGTCGCAACTCGCAATCATGCCTCTAATTAGCGAGTCTAATTTGGTAATTAGTTCAATCTTTTCACATCGCGTTTTAACTGGTTGTTTTTTCAGATGTTGTGTATGTATTGTGGAGGCAACTAACATGTAAATAGTTAATCTAATTGTGGCAATAGACACGAAATATCACTCGTTGAAACATATCAAAATAACTACATATTTTCACGCACCTTGCCACGTTTAGTCAATTGGTTGGCGGTTATCGCTGGAACATTTTCTTTGATGTAAACCATTTTTTCTACGAGCTGAAATTCAAAAAATCTTGTATAATAAACCGAATATATGCTGCTACCGCATTCGTTATTGCTGTAAATACGCTAGAAAAAAGGTAGTTCTATAAGCGAAGTTACAAGTTACTTTCTGATTAGAGACAGTTAATAAAATAATTTATGTCATTATGACGTTGGTCGACAACCCGCTGCCTTCTAATCTAGTGGAAATCAAATCCAAGTTCAACTCTGAATTTCGAAGAGTGGCTATCTACGCAAGTTTTCTGCCAACATTCGAGAAGTTTGCCTTCTTCTTTCGCAATTTACACCACCTCCCGGATGACAATTTAGGACAAGACGGAGGAGGGGGTGATGGTGGGGGGTTGCAGCAGAATTTGGAGTTGCAAGTAGACTTCTATTACAATGATCCGGTGGACAAGGAGCTGCTTCCGATCAATAATGACATCAATTATTTGAGGGTACGTTTGTTGATGTATCAGCTCATCCTGACCTGGTCGCATAAAAGTTCTTTCTTGTGCTAAAAAGTTGTCAATCATAAAGTGTGCTTCAAAGCGCTGTAAGCTCATCTATTTTTCCTTTGAAATTCAAAAGTTGAGATTGACTCTTTTCCAACTGTCTGTTGGCTATGGTAATTGAGTATAATTTTTTTCTAGGCCCTGCGAACTGCGAAGCCGCTGCTGCGCATCTTCCTGCTTCCCCGAGGAGCCCCCATCCAATCTACTCTCAGTCTGAAATCCACAAACGGGGGAGTCTACAGTGCAAAAGAGGTGAGAATTCATAAAAAAAATTACAGAATGCCTGAAAAGGTGGTATTTTTATACGAGTTGAAGTATTAACTAGCTACCATTTAAACACCCGAAACTAGTGAAAAATAACATATGATGATCTCACAATGTAGGGCTTCTATCTACTGGTTTCGACTTAAAATTAAATTCTGAAACACAGTTTAAATCAAGTGCGATGCTTCTCAAAAAGGCGTGAGCATCATATTTAGCCGAGCACGTGTCATCAGTTTTTTCCCATTATAGCTCCCTCCCCCGGGCATAGAAACAAAGGAAACTAAGAGCACCTCATACAAATTTTCATGAATGAGGTAGGAAAAAGCCGTTGGGGATTATAAGGGGAGATAAGCCGTGGCTTAAATTTTGAAAGCGAAGACTCTGACGTTGATTATGATGTTCTGTAGGTACGTCCTGTCATCAGCAAACCGGCCGAATTCAGACAAATTGCAGCTATCATAGACGTCGACGTCATCCCAGAAACACTTCGAAGAGTGAAGTTGTTGAAACACACACAAGACAAACCTCTGGGCTTTTTCATAAGAGACGGAATCAGCATGCGTCAGACCAACTCGGGATTGAAGAAGGTTCCTGGAATCTTCATTTCCAGGTTGGTGCCTGGGGGTCTGGCGGAAATGACTGGACTGCTGTCTGTCAATGACGAAGTGCTGGAAGTGAACGGCATCGATGTCTATGGAAAAACTCTGGATCAGGTAAAATAGATGCTTTTCAAAAAATTACTGTTAACATCGATCGGAACTGAGCAACCGGTATGCGATGGTCAAATATATCCATTTTAATTACTATTTATTTACGAATGAAAACATCGTGGAAGCTGTTCATCAGTTCTCTACCGAAAACCATTATAGAACACAGCGGAATGCCTAAAAAGTTTTTTGGATGCAAGGTGGTTGCGTTTTTCAGTTTTGTTGAGGTTGCTTAACGAGATATTTGCATTTTTTAAGACCGGCACAGAAACCCTAGAAAGTCATGATTCTAAGGATACTTTTTCCGACTCCCTAACTGAGCGCTGTACGGCACTGCCTTAGTCTTGATTCTGACACAGCAAATTGTGGTTATGAGTCTCCGCTGTCGCACGGTATTTTACAGGTTATTTTGCCTTCTCTTGAATTTTAGGTGTCCCTTTTTGCCCTTTTGTTGTTTGTTTGCGAAGTGCATCTTCGCCGCTGTCTTGAACTTACTACATGCACACTATGCAATATTACACCTTACGCTAGCTCTGTTTAATCTTCATGGGTCGCTAAGAGTTGACATTATGAGATAAACGGGACCAAGTGAGCAATCTGCCCCCTAATCATTGTGAGGGAGAGATTGTTTTCATTTGGCTCGAAGTCCTTTTTTCCGACCAATCAGATTTTAGCATAGTACATGCAGGCTTTACTGTTTGAATTTGTTATTTCGATTGTTCACTTCGTCTATTTAGGGGGGGGGGGGGGGGGGGGGGGTTGCCCACATGGGCCAGTAAACGCCCTCAATGATGCACATTTGCATTGTTTTGATTGTTAACAGGTGACAGACATGATGGTAGCCAACAGCAGTAACCTCATCATAACAGTGAAGCCGATAAACCAGCGCAACAACATCTCAGCCGCCGCTCAGGGTTCAATCAGAGGCAGTGGCACCAGTTTCACCCAATCACGATTCTCACTCTCTCAGGGCGACGACGAAGAAGACGAAGTTGTTGACCTCCTGAAGTCCGCCTCACAATTACACCTCAGCACCCAGACTCTCAGTGGCGGAACTCTAGACGGTCGAAGCTCGAATGCAAGACACCAATTCAATTCCAACAACCCCAAAAATTCTGACCACCTGTTCATGAACAGTTCAAGTGTTACCCTGGACAGAAAAGCGCAGCACGCGAAGGGTTCTGGAGGAGGGCAGGTTTCAGCCCACAGAACACAGTCGTCATTCACCAGTCAGCCTAATTTGTACCAATAGGGTCCAGTAATGCCACCTTCAAAAGGAGCTATTGTCGAAAAATGCTTGCAAATGGCACCGATTAAAACCTGAAGTAGTCGGAGATCAGAAGTCAAACCAAATTTTGCCAGCTGTACCATGTGTCTATTTTTCTATATTTCACAATTCGCCAATTTCATTTCACTAAAAAATAGATAATATTTAATATCGTATTCAATAATTCTTTGAATTTCATCTTTTTCGAACGAAACTCGGAGACATTAAGAACACGAAAGTGAAAGGTTATCCGTTCTATGACTGCTACAATGACAGTTGTTGACTTAACGGTGGCGTGTCCCGGAGCCGAATACCCGGATAGCCGAAAATTAAATTTTTTACCGGATAGCCGAAATTTGAATGCATTACGGGATAGCCGAAAAAAAAAAATTTTGTTCATCAAAAGCTGAAAAATAGTTTTTTAATCACTCCCAACCTTATTACTCCAAATGATGATTTTTTTTCCATATTATTCCAGTTTTTGGGAATTCATCAATCCTAAATACTGACCACTATTTGGGACCGATGGAATCCCAAATACTGACCTAATTTGGCGACATGCTGTGTGTTGTGTTTCCATAAACTCTCAACCCAATGACTAAAATTACTGAATTTATTCGGCGTGATGCTTCCAAAATCAGCATTTGGGATTGACGCAATCCCAAATACTGACCTAATTTGGCGATATGCTGGGTGTTGTATTTGCATACACTCTCAACTCAATGACTCCAAATATTGAAATTATTCGGTGTTGTGCTTCCAAAATACTAAAAGATGACATCCACCGATTTAGGTAACCAATGTTTCAAAACTTGTTCGTGGATTCCTCTGATAATGGTTAAGTCCTTGCTTTTAAATTCCATATTGCTAGACATAAGAATTCCAGCTCTAGCTTTTAATTGTTCATATGCAAATTCAGTATTGAACAAAATTCATAATCCACTTACAGTTTGCGGAATCCGCTTACATTTGCGGATTCCGCTTACATTTTGCGGAATCCACTTACTGTTGCGGGATCCAAAACAACTAGCTGTATTCGGTTGTTGCAGAATCCGCGACACAACAAATAGGCCGACAAAATTTACGTTACACTTATATGTACGCGGATTCCGCAGAAGTTTTGTAAGTGGAATCCACTTACATTTTGAAACATGTTTAAAAATTATTTTTTTTGGAATCCAGGAACATTCAGACACAAAATTTTGCGCCTACCCAGTGCACAGTTTGGCCTTGTCATAGGATTGCTGTGAAAAATTTTGTTTTTGGATAGCCGAAAATTACAGTTAAGGGTGCCCCGGGTCAAATTTTGTTCTGCGTTGAGTGTTCGGCTTAAGCTATCAGGCCAGGATGAGCCTGGTTAGTATTTAGTTGGCGATCATTGTTCGCGTCAAGTCATTTTTTACTTAATTTTCAATTATCCGGGAAGGAAATTTTTTTTCGGTTATCCGGGAAGGGGCACTGTGGGTAAACATTGAATTAAAATATCCACTGCGCTTATTTAAACTAATCTCTGCAATGAAAAAGCCAAAAATCTAACTTGATGAAATAAGTGTTCGCCAAAAGAGCGCAGTTTCAATTATGTACTGCTCATGGGTTTATCTGCATGCGTTTTATTCGCTTTATCGGTGACTGGTTTTTGGAAGACATCAAGGGTATTCGGAGCATTTATAAAACCATTAGACACCAAATGACCCCGGAGGTCGGAATCTCCTATTTAGCATTATAAAGCTTCTGTTTGCCATTTAGTTTTTTTTTGGTTCTTTTGCAAAATGCAGCTTTCTGTGTACAATTATAATTGGTTGCACATCAAAATAAAATTTTTAATTTAGGGCCTTTAATGCCATTTTCTCGAGATCTTAAAATGAGAGTTATTTTTACTAGACGTTTTAAGCGCTCGAAAAATTTTAAACTCAAGTCTTTTAAGCAAAAGAAAATTTGGAAAAAAATTCTTAAGAAAAAATAATTAATTATCTTTTTCTTGAAGCGAGGAATGATAATGCGTCATTTGAATCTCCCTAATAGGTTATCTAATATCTTTCCGCGACGGTACTGGTTCAGTTGCTTAAGTCAAATAACAGGTTGCGGGGAATCTTTTCTACATAAGAGGCTAGTCTCAAATTTTGTTATGAAAAAGCTATGATTTTCGGAAATGTGGAATTTTTTTCATTTGTTGACTGGTTTTTCTCGATAACTATCCTGCCAAATCTGATAAAGGATTAATCGACCCAACAAGTTGTTGGAAGCTTACGCTTATAGTTTGCTACGCCCAGTTTTTTCAGACAAAAGTTATGGCCCTTAAACAAGTGAAAATTACGAAAATTGGACCGTTTTCGAAGTTTTTTAGTCGACTCGAAAATTACCGTGCCAGTTCTCAGGTTAGCGTTCAATCGAGAAACCTGATGTTGGGAATCTTTTCTACTTTCCCGTCCGCGAACTGCGCTTAGCAGAAAAAAAAGTTAAGCGACTTCGGACAGTCAAGTTTTTGAGTTTCGACCGTTTTTTAGAAACTTTGAATTTTCTTGAAAACTACGCTATCAAATCTTGCAGAATGTTTCTTGCAGAAGCGGCTTCTCTTTAATGTAAAAGAAAGGCTAGGTCTTTGGGAAAATCTAAAGGCCAGGTCTAAAAGATTCCAAAATTTTAAAATTTTCACTCTTATTTAAGTCGAGAAACAACGAAGGTTTTGTGCAAAGTCTAATTTTTAAAATTTCGTCCCGCGTTAGTATAACTGATTCAAAAAATTTTTAATACTTGCCTCCAGCTTTAGCTGCGCCCTAGGTGTCCTTCATCGAGACATGAAAGTTTTGGTTCACCTAGCTTTTTACCATTTTTCATTTTTCGACTAATTCTTTTTATGATTGTGTTGTATCGCAAGTGGTGCAAAGCTCAGCTTCGCCAGTGTATCTTATTTATTATTTTTTAAGTTTTAAAAACTCGGTTCCTTTTGTGTCCGCTCAAAGATTGTCTTTGTTTCCTATTCATAAGTTTTGTTCCGTTGCTATAATGATATTCGAATGTAGGCATGTTTGCAAAGGTTATGTTCGATTTTAGGCATATCGAGACATACCAAAATTTAAATTTTATTAGATCTAGTTTTTTTTTAAATTTTCATTTTTTTACTTTTAAAATCGTGGTAACTGATATTTTTATCTTCATTTGTCAATATCTAGAGAATTAATGTGTAAATATGACCTGGGCGTCCTTTCAGGTCTTTCTCCAATGATCAATGTGTTTGAAAATAATAAATCTCGGAAGTGAATGAAATCTTGACTAATATATAATTTTTTGATTGAATATTGATTAATTAAGTTGAAAATTGTGGCGAATGAAGATATGAAAAAATGATAAACTAACCGCCCTTATGAAACCTATGTATATGGGAAAAATGGAACAAATGTTTATCTATCTGTCTATACATCATTTAATTGGCGTTCATTTAGCCCTATGTTGACATGTTTGTTGAAAAAATGCCAAAGTATTGCGAAGTGTTATCCTTTTTTATTTCAATTTTTAAATTTCCAAGGTCACCCACAATTCTAACCATGCATCTGTTAAATCAAGAATGTTTTAAGTGTATAGTTTTTCCTCACGCAATGCGATCGTTCTTCTCGCGCAAAGCTTTTCGTCTCAGGGTTTATGAAAATAAATTGAATCACTCAAACCCAAGATGAGATAATATTATGGTACACTCAACGGCTTTAAATATCGCATATAGATATTACTGCTCAAATCTTTCTGGTCTCCGAGATATGGCGTTGTTTACGATTTTTTCCATACTTTTTTCAAAAAAATAAACAAAAATTTTGAAATTTTCTTCTATGTTGGGGTGGTTTAAGGGTGCACTCAGAAGTTACAATTCCGGCTCCAAATTTTAATGCAAAAATCATTTTAGTTTCAAAATATGACGTACGTTTTTAAATTTTTTCTCAAAAATTGTTGATGTAAAATACTAACAGAAAATGAAATTTTCAACCTATGCTTTCGTACTGTCGCAGCTGACCGAGGGTTTGCAAAGCTAGCCTCCTGAACTTACAGCTCAAATCTTTTGGCTTCCAAGATGCGGCGTTTTTCATGATTTTTTTCAGTTTGTTTTTCAAAGAAATAAGATAAAAAATCACTTACATAAAATGAAGTTCTGTGCTTAATGGTGCGGTGATGTAAGAGTACATACAGGGATTGGAAGTTTGAGTCGTTGAATTTTAAAGCTCTAATTCTCTTGGTTTCAAAAATTTTTCTCCAAATTCAAAGAGCTTTAAGACCATCTAATTTTTTATTCGAAATTCATAAATTGAAGATTTTTGAAAAAACTAGTCAGTTTTTTTTTTTCAGTATCCTTGCGTTCGTTACTCTTTTCCAACTGTTCGTTGGCTATTTTTTTTTTCAAACAACGGATTAAAAAAACTAACAAAACATGAAATTCTCAACCGTATCTGCTCGGGGTTAGAAATCTGGCCTCAATTATTACTGCTCAAGTCCTTTTGATTCCGAGATTTTTTCATGATTTGAAGAAATTTTCAGTCCCATATTTTAGTGCTGTCAGGATACTTTCAGTGGTTGCAAATTTGGCTTCTCTTTGATCTAAAGTAGTTATAGAGATATGACCATTTTGTTGAAAAGTAACTTGAAAGTTTTCTTTATAACTGGTTTAATAAATGAAATCGAAAAACCTGGTAATTGGGTCCTGTTTAAAGGTTGCATTGAATATTGCTTTCTCGTATATATGTTAGCAAGCTATTCTTACGTTCAGCAATCTACTTAAAGCATCAGAGTGCAAGTCATGCACTAGTATTTTTTATACATGCTACTTTTCACGTTTTACAAACGGAAACACGGTTGATATGTTCGTCAAATGGTGACTTCGTAAAAACACATACAACAAAAACGAAATTCGCAGCAGAAGCAATCTAATATCCGTATATATTCTTATTTCTTTTTTAAATGATTAAGTTCATAATTAAAAACAAAAAATGCGAAACTTTGAGTTTTTCGTGAAGTTGGATGAACTACCAGCTGATTAAGTTTGCTTTAATAAATACCGAAGTTATTTATTAGTTGATTGAGAAAAAAATTATAGTTCATTGAGTGTTGTCCATAAAGTATTAAGTAAAACTTGAAACGTTTTGATAGCGATGTTTAACTTGATCGATTTTTTAGAGTCTGTCTTATCAAAGACCAAATGTTTGCCTTCAATTCAAGAGTTTTATCATAGTGGACGATAAACTGATTATTTTCTGCAAAATAATTTTTGATGCGATCATGAGGCAAAAATTTTTGTTGAGATTATGTCATAAAATATTGGCTTATTATGGTCATTTTATGTTTTCGACTGTTTGCGAATTATGTTTCATCGATTTTTTGTTTTCGTTTTTTTGTTTTCCACGCATAATCGGTTTCATGACAAAAGATTCCTTACCTTAAGATCCCAAACGAGAAGATCCCAGTCAATAAGATACCATTCGAAAAGATACCTCGTTCTAAAATTATAAGATATAAGATAATATAATAAAATATAAAAGAATCTGAGAAATGAAATCAAAGCGGTTACAAAGCACAAACAAAGCGTCGGTTTAAATCAAAGACACGGCAAAAATTTTGCTGCACAAATTTCGAACAAACAACTTTGCAAATCACTTGGCCTTCAAATTGAAACTCAAACTTCAAAACCGCTTAGACTACAAAGGGACATGGAAAAGTTTTCCAATTAATCAAAACCAACTTTGTCAATAATGGCCTGATTTTCCAGACAACCCAAGTCGGTATAAAATTGAAATTGAGTTTTTGCATAATTCCAAAGCTTTGAAATCATTTCCATTAAGAGTCACTTGCCATTCTATTTGATAAAAAAATATTAATTCTCACTTCTGATCAACTTTTTTTCGCTAGGCGCAATACTCAAAGGGCCGTCAGGCCCCTACCCCCAAACTAGCGTCCCGTAAATAAGGCCAGTTGCTCTGGAATCCAATTGCTAGAGACAGCATTTTCGAATGCGAGTCGTAGTAAAGCGTTTTGGCGTTCTCCGGGAGGGTGGAAGGAGACGTCTATAAAAAAATTGATCAAACAAATTTAAATTTAGGAGAAATCAGGCAAAAACTAAAACAAAATTTATGAAGTTAAATCGACAAGTGAACAGATATAAGACATAAAGTTCAAGTATATGTATGAACAAGTTATCTGTTGAACTTTTTCATTCAAATGACGGTGTTTTTCCGGGATAAGTTGATTGTACGGCTGGATGCCTTCAAAATATTGAATTTTTGGTTGTAGGAATCCAGTTGAATTTTTTCAAGAAACCTATATTTTGAAGGATAGCTGCCTTGAAACAAAGTGGTTACACCTAGATGCCACCCTTCAACTTCATTTGTTGTTTGGGCTAGACAACACATAGCTTTTTGATAATGGTTCCATAAAGAAATAGGAAAGTGTTTTTCGGCCAACCAAATCCCCTTAAATGTACGTTTTTTGTTTTGTTAAATATCCTGTTTGGTTTCCACACTGCATATTTCCTCCAATACTAGGCCGAACCCGATTTCCACTTTTCACTCCGGTACAAAAATAAGCGCAGGAATCATATTCAGCGCTCAGACTGTTAAAATTTAAAATAAAATATTTTAAATTTTTCGGTCATCTGTTGCAACAATGGGCAGGGATGCCGTTTGCTTAGTTCTGTTTAAAGTTCGCGTTATCGCCGACCGGGAGGGCAAAGACAGTTGGGTTGCTTTGTCCTGCGTCAATTGCAAACTAGCTGCGATGATCTGGCTGTTTGCTGGATTTAGTTGATTACTAACTGTCTCCTTCCTTTGCTGAACTAGTTGCCGAGCTTCTGAGCGTCCTGCGCTGAGCTCGTGATTATGCTTGTTGCTGTTTGAAATTACATCGCTCCCAGAAGTGATTTAAATTTTTGGGCATTTATATGATCTCCATTTGCTGCAGCGCCAGTGTGTTGTTCTCTTCGTATCACGTTTCTTTTGAAATTCATGGCCGTCATGAATAATCAGTGTTTGGCCTTTTTGTGAGGTTCCCCGAGTAAAAGAATTCATTTTTGACTATTCTGAGAGTTGAAGAGTGAGATAATAAATGCAGAGTGTACACATTTTCAGTTGAGTTGTTCTATTTCAATGCCATATTAACACTAAATTAAACACATGCTGGCACTATGTTAATCCCAAAAATGAGTCGTTTAAATTTAGTTATCTTACATTGGGTTGTTCTTTAAAAGCGCAAAACTAATTGAGATATCAGTACTCTAGATTCATTTCTGCTGACTTTTCGATCCTGATTTTTTATTTATAGATCATGGGATCTTCTTAATTGGCATGGGATCTTATGGTATGGGTGATTTTTGTACAAGGGATCTTTTGGTACGGTATCTTTTGTCATGGGAGCTTTTGTTATGGTATATTTTGTCCTGATACCGCAAAATCAGCGACCGCAAATAATCATTGGAGAGAGTTGAGTGACAATTTAGGCCGCTTACAACAGCTTATTTATGCTTAGCTTAATATGACTCAGTGATGAGTTAATGAGTTAATTTCATTTGTATAAATGCGGTCTCCAGATTTTTGATTTTGTTGCAGATTCAGACGAATGACGACAGCCGTGACCTTGACCCAGATCTGGTGCCACTCAACCATCCAGTGAGAAATAAGAATTTTTTCAGTAGTTCCATTAATGTTGGTTTTACATGGGGATCGAGTCTTGATGTTTGGTTAGGCTGGATTAGTGATAGTTTGGTATGTTTCGAAATAGAGTTGGATTATCTCCTTATCTTGTGTCTAGTTCAATCAAGAATTCATATGAATCATTGCACTCAAGTATATTCGGGCCATTTTTAAAATTTTTTTTTACTGTATTTCAGAGTATGCTGAAGTTCTTGACTTCGGTCGAAGATTCGATATTTGAAGCTCTAGAAGAGAACTTGACCTCTTACCATTTTGCAGGCAAGTAATGATAAGTGAATACGAATATATTGTCCACAATGTACTTTTTGTGGATCCGCGAATGCTTGTCGCTTGATGTGTGGTACGCAGCCATTAAAGCTAGAGTTGAAATTTTGGAGAGTACAATTTTATATTTTAAATTTGGAAGCCAACACATGCACCAAAATGTAGGAGCAAACCCAAATTTGAAAATTTTCCAGCAAAAGTCCGATTAAAGCGCTATCATGATTAAAGCTCTCAGCTTTGGCGCGATTGAAAAGAAGAAGAAATCATTTCGCATCGTAACAAATTACAATTACATAATTTTATGTCTCTAAAGCATCAGAACGCTTGCAATTAGCACGCGTTATCCAATCGGAATATAGACTTATTTCGGGTTATCAACTTGAATCCCTTGGTATCTTGGTTCATAATGAGTTCAAGTTTCTAAGCGTCTCCGGCTCACTTAGTCTGGAGACGAATACGCCTGGAACGGCAAAGATCCTGGGTTCGAATCCTTTCAGGACCTGATTTTTTTTATATGGGAAATGTTCCGTTTCAAAAAAGTTGACGGTTTTTTATTTGTCTGCTTACGTTTTGTCGGCTTAGTTGCTTCTTCTTAGAATTTCTTCGCCGAATGTAGTTATCATGGTAGTTGTTTTCTCTGTTAACACTAGCGATCAGTACAAACCATCTTTTTTTCTAACGTAACTCGCACTAAAAAGTGTTCATTTATTTGGTAGCCTTTTTGCTATAATCACGATCTAGCATTGGAAAGTTCATAGCTTCTGTTCTCTGCTTTTTGATGGCTAGTGGTTGTTATGTATTAAGCGTGTGTGGCTGAGTGGTTAGTGCGGGAGTCTCTTAATACCTAGGTTGCAGATCGAATCCGAGACTCAGCCGGTTTCAAATGATTCGAGGCTTATTTCTACTTTTTCTTGCATTTTACAGAGCTCCTTTTTGCCGTGTTCTCGCTTGAGTTTTCGAAGCGAAGCCTTGCCTCTGTGTTTCATTCCTGCAATTCGTAATTCTACTATCTTGGACTTCGTATATTTTCTCCTTTTCATGTTTTTTCCGCTTGAAAATTTTTTTTCGCTAAAAAATCTCATAGAACTTATAGTTCAAAGTTTTGCATGACAACATTCTTTTTTCGCTTGATAATTGGTCTGAATTTTCCTTAAACGCCGACGAAGGTGTTTCTGGACGTGTTTTCCGCAAATAGAAATTATATCCAAACGACGTTTTGAAGTTTTTTAAATTGTGGTTTCTTGTGAAATTTTTTCATTTTCTTTGGAATTAATGGCTCTCCTTTTCTTTCCTGTCTGCTAGCTTGCAATGCTTTTTTATAGTTTTGCAATTGATGGGAAGCTCCGCGTCGCCTCTGTGTATTAACAGTAAATTGAAACTCAAAAAAATGGATAGCTGACAAAAAAACTGGGGAACTCCAATCGTTAAAAGCGCATGAAACGGTAACATAAGTTTGAGTTATAACAAAACTGAAGAAAAAGAGAAACAGCCTAGAGCTTTTTTGTTGTTTTTTTTCTTGTTTTGTGAAGTGCAACTGCGCCTCTGTATCCATGGAGCTGTCTGCAGGCTTTGAAAAAATTGGTTTATTCTTGGTTTATTTGTTTTTAGGCTACGAAGTCGACTGGAGTGAGGATCAGGAAAGTGAAGTGACCTGTGTGAACACATTCTACGCCAGTGAGTCAATACTGAACACACATTTGAGGCAAGTACACAGACACTAGTCTCTGTTAACGTCTGGGTTATTCTCAATAAATCTACAAAATGCAGTGAAAGATTCGAATTGAAACAGAAATATGGTAAATTTAAACGGTTGATCTGAAATATACCTAGGAGCAGATCTTTTTGCGGAACTTTTCAATATGATTGAAGGAGCCGAAATATGAACGAATGAAAATCGAGTAGAATATATAAACCACCCGACATTTACATTTTTTTGTGTTGAAGTTTGCTTGATTTTTGTAAGTGTTACATAATTTTCACGTAGTTAATTACAAAGGTGCCTATTATACTCCTCTTATATATATTTTGAACTAAATAGTATTCATAATTAAATATAAATTTGTAGCTAGTGTGATATTTGGCTGCTTAGTAGCCATCGTTTTTGTCTGATGGAAATTTTGTTACTTACTTATAGCTCATCGCAAAGCAACGCCAACACAGACGAAAGTAATACTGAGTCTTCTCAATTCTACCAATCAAAAACAAGTCATGGAGATGAGAATGATCTTAGCACAAGTTCGGCAGTGCAAGTGCACTTAAAGCATCAGAGTGCAAGTCATGCACTAGTATTTTTTATACATGCTACTTTTCACGTTTTACAAACGGAAACACGGTTGATATGTTCGTCAAATGGTGACTTCGTAAAAACACATACAACAAAAACGAAATTCGCAGCAGAAGCAATCTAATATCCGTATATATTCTTATTTCTTTTTTAAATGATTAAGTTCATAATTAAAAACAAAAAATGCGAAACTTTGAGTTTTTCGTGAAGTTGGATGAACTACCAGCTGATTAAGTTTGCTTTAATAAATACCGAAGTTATTTATTAGTTGATTGAGAAAAAAATTATAGTTCATTGAGTGTTGTCCATAAAGTATTAAGTAAAACTTGAAACGTTTTGATAGCGATGTTTAACTTGATCGATTTTTTAGAGTCTGTCTTATCAAAGACCAAATGTTTGCCTTCAATTCAAGAGTTTTATCATAGTGGGCGATAAACTGATTATTTTCTGCAAAATAATTTTTGATGCGATCATGAGGCAAAAATTTTTGTTGAGATTATGTCATAAAATATTGGCTTATTATGGTCATTTTATGTTTTCGACTGTTTGCGAATTATGTTTCATCGATTTTTTGTTTTCGTTTTTTTGTTTTCCACGCATAATCGGTTTCATGACAAAAGATTCCTTACCTTAAGATCCCAAACGAGAAGATCCCAGTCAATAAGATACCATTCGAAAAAATACCTCGTTCTAAAATTATAAGATATAAGATAATATAATAAAATATAAAAGAATCTGAGAAATGAAATCAAAGCGGTTACAAAGCACAAACAAAGCGTCGGTTTAAATCAAAGACACGGCAAAAATTTTGCTGCACAAATTTCGAACAAACAACTTTGCTTATCACTTGGCCTTCAAATTGAAACTCAAACTTCAAAACCGCTTAGACTACAAAGGGACTTGGAAAAGTTTTCCAATTAATCAAAACCAACTTTGTCAATAATGGCCTGATTTTCCAGACAACCCAAGTCGGTATAAAATTGAAATTGAGTTTTTGCATAATTCCAAAGCTTTGAAATCATTTCCATTAAGAGTCACTTGCCATTCTATTTGATAAAAAAAATATTAATTCTCACTTCTGATCAACTTTTTTTCGCTAGGCGCAATACTCAAAGGGCCGTCAGGCCCCTACCCCCAAACTAGCGTCCCGTAAATAAGGTCAGTTGCTCTGGAATCCAATTGCTAGAGACAGCATTTTCGAATGCGAGTCGTAGTAAAGCGTTTTGGCGTTCTCCGGGAGCGTGGAAGGAGACGTCTATAAAAAAATTGATCAAACAAATTTAAATTTAGAAATCAGGCAAAAACTAAAACAAAATTTATGAAGTTAAATCGACAAGTGAACAGATATAAGACATAAAGTTCAAGTATATGTATGAACAAGTTATCTGTTGAACTTTTTCATTCAAATGACGGTGTTTTTCCGGGATAAGTTGATTGTATGGCTGGATGCCTTCAAAATATTGAATTTTTGGTTGTAGGAATCCAGTTGAATTTTTTCAAGAAACCTATATTTTGAAGGATAGCTGCCTTGAAACAAAGTGGTTACACCTAGATGCCACCCTTCAACTTCATTTGTTGTTTGGGCTAGACAACACATAGCTTTTTGATAATGGTTCCATAAAGAAATAGGAAAGTGTTTTTCGGCCAACCAAATCCCCTTTAATGTACGTTTTTTGTTTTGTTAAATATCCAGTTTGGTTTCCACACTGCATATTTCCTCAAATACTAGGCCGAACCCGATTTCCACTTTTCACTCCGGTACAAAAATAAGCGCAGGAATCATATTCAGCGCTCAGGCTGTTAAAATTTAAAATAAAATATTTTAAATTTTTCGGTCATCTGTTGCAACAATGGGCAGGGATGCCGTTTGCTTAGTTCTGTTTAAAGTTCGCGTTATCGCCGACCGGGAGGGCAAAGACAGTTGGGTTGCTTTGTCCTGCGTCAATTGCAAACTAGCTGCGATGATCTGGCTGTTTGCTGGATTTAGTTGATTACTAACTGTCTCCTTCCTTTGCTGAACTAGTTGCCGAGCTTCTGAGCGTCCTGCGCTGAGCTCGTGATTATGCTTGTTGCTGTTTGAAATTACATCGCTCCCAGAAGTGATTTAAATTTTTGGGCATTTATATGATCTCCATTTGCTGCAGCGCCAGTGTGTTGTTCTCTTCGTATCGTGTTTCTTTTGAAATTCATGGCCGTCATGAATAATCAGTGTTTGGCCTTTTTGTGAGGTTCCCCGAGTAAAAGAATTCATTTTTGACTATTCTGAGAGTTGAAGAGTGAGATAATAAATGCAGAGTGTACACATTTTCAGTTGAGTTTTTCTAATTCAATGCCATATTAACACTAAATTAAACACATGCTGGCACTATGTTAATCCCAAAAATGAGTCGTTTAAATTTAGTTATCTTACATTGGGTTGTTCTTTAAAAGCGCAAAACTAATTGAGATATCAGTACTCTAGATTCATTTCTGCTGACTTTTCGATCCTGATTTTTTATTTATAGATCATGGGATCTTCTTAATTGGCATGGGATCTTATGGTATGGGTGATTTTTGTACAAGGGATCTTTTGGTACGGTATCTTTTGTCATGGGAGCTTTTGTTATGGTATATTTTGTCCTGATACCGCAAAATCAGCGACCGCAAATAATCATTGGAGAGAGTTGAGTGACAATTTAGGCCGCTTACAACAGCTTATTTATGCTTAGCTTAATATGACTCAAATAAAGTTTTTGGAGATTTTCAATACCATTTTAGCAATCGAAATTTCAAGTGCTTGTAATTTTTTTCTAGTCATTTTTCTTCCGTCATTCTTCGCCAAATTTGTTGTCCTGTTTGCGTATATGTTTATGACTGTCGAAAAGTTCGCATAAACATATAATTTATCGACAAAATTGTTGATACTGGTACAAGTTTTTGCGAGTGTGTTATAACAGGCTCCTTTTTCAGTGATTGATATGTGAAAATACTCATACGTGGTATAGGTTTTGCTGCAGTAATTTCCACTCTTAATTACCTTTACATACTCTATCGGAATGAATCTGCAATTTTCTGATCACTCGCTAGAAGGGGCGGACGTGGTCAGTTATGATGCTAAGGAGCATGAACAGAAGTATGTGAGGGACTGTCTCATCCAGACCGAGCCCAGAGTATTCGCATCCAGGGCAACCCAGATCATAAGAAGGAAGGAAATTCAGGTAAGGATGTTATAGATCTACTTAACAATCTCCCTCTTGCAAGAAGGGGGGATTGTTTAGTAGAATAAATTAGTCGAGCTTTGATGGACCAATCGGAATGCAGCAAAATTACAATTCTATAGAAAACATGGGACAGAGAAAAGAATACACACCTCTCTCATGGTATTCTTTAATAAGGGAGAGGGGGTTGAGATTGCTTACTAGGTCCGATTTGGTTTCTATAACTATATGAGCGGCTCTTATAATAAAGGTGATAAAGGTTCTCTCAATTATAATATGCAATCTCTCTGCTCTGCTATCGACTTGTTATAAGAGACGAAGTTAGCATATTATAAGATATTTTAACTTTTAAGGTATAAAAAAAATGAAAAATTGAAAAAAAGTAAAGTTTCATCAAAGTAATCTTTTACGGTCAAGGATGCTAGAAATTGCCTAAATGATGAGTTAATTTCATTTGTATAAATGCGGTCTCCAGATTTTTGATTTTGTTGCAGATTCAGACGAATGACGACAGCCGTGACCTTGACCCAGATCTGGTGCCACTCAACCATCCAGTGAGAAATAAGAATTTTTTCAGTAGTTCCATTAATGTTGGTTTTACATGGGGATCGAGTCTTGATGTTTGGTTAGGCTGGATTAGAGATAGTTTGGTATGTTTCGAAATAGAGTTGGATTATCTCCTTATCTTGTGTCTAGTTCAATCAAGAATTCATATGAATCATTGCACTCAAGTATATTCGGGCCATTTTTAAAATTTTTTTTTACTGTTTTTCAGAGTATGCTGAAGTTCTTGACTTCGGTCGAAGATTCGATATTTGAAGCTCTAGAAGAGAACTTGACCTCTTACCATTTTGCAGGCAAGTAATGATAAGTGAATACGAATATATTGTCCACAATGTACTTTTTGTGGATCCGCGAATGCTTGTCGCTTGATGTGTGGTACGCAGCCATTAAAGCTAGAGTTGAAATTTTGGAGAGTACAATTTTATATTTTAAATTTGGAAGCCAACACATGCACCAAAATGTAGGAGCAAACCCAAATTTGAAAATTTTCCAGCAAAAGTCCGATTAAAGCGCTATCATGATCAGTGTTGGCTGATTTAAATCAATTGATTTAAATCAACAGTAAAAATCCGATTTAAATCAAGATTTAAATCAAAGCCTTTATGGTTGATTTATTTCTAGTGTAAATTGAAATTTTGTATTTCTCGTTTTTATATTAAGCGGAAGCATCAATCCCTCTAGCGGTTGAGACAGCAATTTGAATACACGTTAAATTACAATTTAATACATTGTTCAGCGTGCTCTCTTTCAGATTTGTGTTATTTTCGTGACTAATCTTATGTCCCGATGATTGTGAAGTATTATATTATGCTTTCAAAGTGTATCATCTGCAATTATGAAATGTTGTGCAGTTAAAATGTTCTCCAGCTTACACTGTAGGTGACTTTACACTGTAGGTGACTTTACACTGTAGGTGACTTTGATTTAAATCAAAAAAATCCGATTTAAATCAAAAAAATCCGATTTTTTGATTTTTTAAATAAAAATCCGATTTTTTTCCAACACTGATCATGATTAAAGCTCTCAGCTTTGGCGCGATTGAAAAGAAGAAGAATTCATTTCGCATCGTAACAAATTACAATTACATAATTTTATGTCTCTAAAGCATCAGAACGCTTGCAATTAGCACGCGTTATCCAATCGGAATATAGACTTATTTCGGGTTATCAACTTGAATCCCTTGGTATCTTGGTTCATAATGAGTTCAAGTTTCTAAGCGTCTCCGGCTCACTTAGTCTGGAGACGAATACGCCTGGAACGGCAAAGATCCTGGGTTCGAATCCTTTCAGGACCTGATTTTTTTTATATGGGAAATGTTCCGTTTCAAAAAAGTTGACGGTTTTTTATTTGTCTGCTTACGTTTTGTCGGCTTAGTTGCTTCATCTTAGAATTTCTTCGCCGAATGTAGTTATCATGGTAGTTGTTTTCTCTGTTAACACTAGCGATCAGTACAAACCATCTTTTTTTCTAACGTAACTCGCACTAAAAAGTGTTCATTTATTTGGTAGCCTTTTTGCTATAATCACGATCTAGCATTGGAAAGTTCATAGCTTCTGTTCTCTGCTTTTTGATGGCTAGTGGTTGTTATGTATTAAGCGTGTGTAGCTGAGTGGTTAGTGCGGGAGTCTCTTAATCCCTAGGTTGCAGATCGAATCCGAGACTCAGCCGGTTTCAAATGATTCGAGGCTTATTTCTACTTTTTCTTGCATTTTACAGAGCTCCTTTTTGCCGTGTTCTCGCTTGAGTTTTCGAAGCGAAGCCTTGCCTCTGTGTTTCATTCCTGCAATTCGTAATTCTACTATCTTGGACTTCGTATATTTTCTCCTTTTCATGTTTTTTCCGCTTGAAAATTTTTTTTCGCTAAAAAATCTCATAGAACTTATAGTTCAAAGTTTTGCATGACAACATTCTTTTTTCGCTTGATAATTGGTCTGAATTTTCCTTAAACGCCGACGAAGGTGTTTCTGGACGTGTTTTCCGCAAATAGAAATTATATCCAAACGACGTTTTGAAGTTTTTTAAATTGTGGTTTCTTGTGAAATTTTTTCATTTTCTTTGGAATTAATGGCTCTCCTTTTCTTTCCTGTCTGCTAGCTTGCAATGCTTTTTTATAGTTTTGCAATTGATGGGAAGCTCCGCGTCGCCTCTGTGTATTAACAGTAAATTGAAACTCAAAAAAATGGATAGCTGACAAAAAAACTTTGGGGAACTCCAATCGTTAAAAGCGCATGAAACGGTAACATAAGTTTGAGTTATAACAAAACTGAAGAAAAAGAGAAACAGCCTAGAGCTTTTTTGTTGTTTTTTTTCTTGTTTTGTGAAGTGCAACTGCGCCTCTGTATCCATGGAGCTGTCTGCAGGCTTTGAAAAAATTGGTTTATTCTTGGTTTATTTGTTTTTAGGCTACGAAGTCGACTGGAGTGAGGATCAGGAAAGTGAAGTGACCTGTGTGAACACATTCTACGCCAGTGAGTCAATACTGAACACACATTTGAGGCAAGTACACAGACACTAGTCTCTGTTAACGTCTGGGTTATTCTCAATAAATCTACAAAATGCAGTGAAAGATTCGAATTGAAACAGAAATATGGTAAATTTAAACGGTTGATCTGAAATATACCTAGGAGCAGATCTTTTTGCGGAACTTTTCAATATGATTGAAGGAGCCGAAATATGAACGAATGAAAATCGAGTAGAATATATAAACCACCCGACATTTACATTTTTTTGTGTTGAAGTTTGCTTGATTTTTGTAAGTGTTACATAATTTTCACGTAGTTAATTACAAAGGTGCCTATTATACTCCTCTTATATATATTTTGAACTAAATAGTATTCATAATTAAATATAAATTTGTAGCTAGTGTGATATTTGGCTGCTTAGTAGCCATCGTTTTTGTCTGATGGAAATTTTGTTACTTACTTATAGCTCATCGCAAAGCAACGCCAACACAGACGAAAGTAATACTGAGTCTTCTCAATTCTACCAATCAAAAACAAGTCATGGAGATGAGGATGATCTTAGCACAAGTTCGGCAGTGATGTTTGAGAACTCAATTGTGTCCTCTATTTCGTGGAACTGTCAAGGAAGTCTGTTTGCGGCCTCATTGGCCAACACGGAACACGAAGACTGGTGTGTTCACAAGGTCAGAAGAAAAATGTTTGAACAAGCATTTCAAATTTAGCACTAACAATTTGACGACATTATTACCTACTGTTTTAGATTCTATCAAATGTTCCACGTGGTTGCGCATGATAAACTGGTTGCGCAATCCCATTTTCAAAAAATCGTGCCATAAGATACACATGTCGTAGGATTCTATATTAAGTTTTCGGTATAAAAAGTTCGTATCTACCAAAACGAATCGTAAAACTCTTAACGATAATACAGTGGATGCATTAAGTGAAGAAAAATCTGTTATTTTTAAGTCATAAAGAAATCTATAAATGAGAAATTTTGAAAATGAAGCGAGCAACTGAGAAATTGTTTGGAGCAAGTGGAAAATATGCTAAAATGTTCTTTTTCGAAACGACTGAAGAGACCAAAGGGGGTTACGATGTGTACTCAGTTTCATTTGAAATACTTTTTGCTTTTTATCCAGTCTGCGATTGTTCTGTGGAATATCGGGAGGACGAAAGTGGATGCGAAGAAACCACACAATACCATCGAGTGCTCTGTAAGTTAATAACATTATTGAGAACAATAATTAACTTTTTTCTATCTATAATTAATATTGTGTAATTTATTACGTAGTTTGAAACGTCATTAGGCAATAGGGGCCGTTTCAAAACGTCGTGTTATCTGCCATGGATTTAAGCGGAAACATGAAAATCATCTGGTTGAATGTCTCGTATAGCTCTGTCGTATGATTTTGTTGTATGTACACACTTGATTGGATTGCCTAAGTTTGAATGTTCAACTTTTAGAGGCTTGGAAAAAGACAGTTTTTCTTTTTTTTTGACAACTTGACGACGGTCCAGAAATGATGTTCCTTATATCTGCAATACACTTCTCCAATAAAATAGTTATCAATAAGAATTTCTCACTAGCTTTGTTAAGTGTGTGTTTAGGGATGTGTGACGGATATTTGTTTCCACCCCTCCAACCCGGCACTGTTGGGAGCTGGCTCATTTAATGGGGAAGTTTTTGTGCTGGATCTGAGCAGAGACGAGTCTAGTCAACTGGTGGCCAGTGTGGCCTCTCTTCACACTGAACCCATCTGTACAGTCCACTGGATCAGGGATCCAGAGTCAAATACACTACATGCTCCATATATGGTAATCATTTTACACTTATTTTAAGTCAACCAGTCCGGAGGCCTAACCCGGAGGTAAATATTTAGGTTGACATGAGCGTATATATTCAGCGCCCCTTTAAGAGCTCATCTTACAAATTGCAGCGCACGTGAGATATGAACCAGCAATCATATGATTGCTGGGCACCATCTCTACCGGAGCGCCACAATCTTTGATCGGGACCTTATATGCACGAAGAAGGCATTGGAGAATATCTTGAGAAAAAGTCCCGTTTTTCTACAGCACGTAGAGCATGTTTGATGTAACATCTTAAGCTCGAATGCTCTTTCTAAGTCATTCCTGATGGTGATAACTCCTCGTGTCAATTACTGATGATTTCTACTTAACCGCTGAAATGAAAAACTTATCAATAAAAAAGAGAACTAGCGAGCTGTCGATTGACTTGCAAGTAGCGCATAATGGGTCGACCGTGGTTATAAAATCAACAAAAATTTAAGTGGAAAAGAACAAGATGACTCTTCTTTTTTAGATTATGTTGAATTTTTAGTCTGAAAAGTTGTTCTTGCTCAATTTTTTTTCGCGTTTTGACTTCGATTCCTTCAGTTACTTTTCAGTTGAAAATTTAACAGAAAGAATTTTTTTTGTTATTCTTTTCGCTGACACTTTTCGAATACTGTTGGCTTGGTTTTCGTTATCAAATAAGGAACTTTATTTTTTCGGGTTTTCAATTTGTGTACCACAATAACTGAATCAATGCATGACGTGCACTGCATATGAAGAAGTGCTGACATTCTCAATCTCTGGAAAATTCAAATTAGACTACTGGTTGCTGTTACAGGGCACTTTTGATTTTGCAGTCATCCTTTGAACTGCCATTCATATTTTTTCTTGCAGAACTTAAATTTTCGACGGTTTGCTTGTCTTTTCATTTTTTGTTTTCTCAATAAAGCACTATTTTTCTCAATAAAGCACAATAAAGGTTTTTCTGATTTAAACGTTTAATTCAAGTGAAGCCTAGTGATAATTCAATACTACTTTTTCTCACCTAAGTTGTTAGTGCTACTTTTGCTGGCACTTTTCATCAGGATTCTGAATTGGGTATTTAAGAGCATGTGCGTTGACATTTGATTATTAATAAGTTAACTCAGTTGATTTATTTTTAATTGACACGTAATGAAGACATTTGTACAGGCCCAGAAATTTCTGTTTTTTGTTTTCTTTTTTTTCAAAAAAAATCTTATCATTTGTTCTTGCTCAAATTTAATTTTTTTTTGCTGTTGACTTGAATTTTACTTCATTTTTAGTGTAAATTATTTAAATGGACAAGACAGAGACATGAGCGTAATCAGTGAGGTCTTGTTTTGTTTGCCCTTCATATCGGTCCTTTTTTTATTTTGATTGTTTTAACTAGCGAGCGTAGGGTATGAGTACGAACCTTCTTTTTTCTAACCTAACTCGCAAATAAAAGTGTTGATTTATTTCCCTTAGGCTGCAATCACGATCCGTAGCAATGGAAATTTCATGGCATCTGTTCTCTGCTTTATTTGTGGCTAGTGTTTGTGATTTATTAAGCGTCCGTGGCTGAGTGGTTAGTTAGTGACGCTCTTAATATCTAGGTCGGATTATCAAATCGGACACTTAGCCAAATTTTCATTAATTCGAGGCTTATTACTTTTTGTTCCGACCATTGAAAATGGGAGCAGCTTTGTATTCGGGTGTGTTTTAGTTTTTTCTTTTTGTTTTCCACGCAAAATCAGGTACCGCAAATAATCATCGGACTGGGTTGAGTGATAAATCATTCTAAAGCCCTAACAGTCGTGATTCCAACCACAAAAAAAGTATCCCGTGTCGAGAAAAACCGTTCTGATATTTTTGATTTTTCGTCTTATTTCGAGCGAATAAAGCGAGCGAGCAGTCTTATTTCAACTGCTTAAAAGCTTACAATAGCTTAATTTAAAACGTAAAAACTTAGTTTTACTTGAGTGACGTTAGTTTACCTGGAGTATTTTAGCGCCTTTTTGGAATTAAATTTCAATTTGCTTATTTAACTATGACTGTCGAATATACCTAATCTCCAGTTTTTTTATTCAGCTCCTTTTATCACACCACGCCGAAAAAAAATGACAATAATTTGAAATGTATTTTTTTAAGACTATGGTCGGAACATTCTGTGCCACTTGCACAGTAACCGGCTATCCTTGTTCTTATTGTACTTCATAGAGCTGCTTTTTGTGTTCTTGCTAGTGTTAGTGAAGCGCAGCTTCGCCTCTGTGTTAATTATATTACCATGTTTTAGCTGGTGACTTCGGGACAAGACGGCAAGATTCTAATGTGTTCTTTGAACGAAATCAGCAGACAACTCACACTAGTATCGGGGTGAGACAATTTAATTGGAAACTTAATCAAATCTTTTTTAAGCTTACGAACGTATTCCGCGTTTATTTATTTGACTTATGAGTAACCAAATGAGTCAAATATTTGTAATTTAACACTTGCGAGAGCAAGTATCCCGTAATCAGGATTTAGACAACCCGATTCGTTACAAAATTTCTCACAAATCGACTTGCATTAACTACTCAGAATGTGTCAAATTAGCAATTATCAAACCCCCAGAACTCCACGAAAAAAAAAACAACAGATGAAATATCTGAAGCAGGTGAAATATCTGAAGTGAAGACACGTATTTGTTTGAAGGCGTTTGATTTTTGATTTGCCTTTAAGTTCAATTTGCGTTCCTTTGAGAGAGCAAGTGTCTTGTAATCGGAAACTATACTTTTTCCCGTACAAATGTTTTTAAACAGAATAAATTGAACTTGCTTTGTTATTGAACCTTAGCAACTTCCACGCTCTTTCCCTTTCGGTCTAAGGAAAACGCGCTTACCATTGCACCCTAAGGTCAGGGGTGTTTTTTTCCCGGTCAGACCTTGTGTTTTTTTTTTCAGTATGTATGAAATTGAAAAAAAAAGTCTCGGAAAAAATTGAAGGGTTGGACTTTCAGTTGTCTGCTCATTTTTGTCGGTATGAAGTACATAGCAGGAATCGACTTCTGAATGAATTAGTTATTATAATAATTGACAGTCATCCTGTTTTAATGTCAATTTACCAATTCGAATTTATATATTTTTTCAACTTTATGATTTATGGTTTCAAGTTTCAAATCTGAACTAATCAACGATTTTTTCATGACAACAAATTATTATGCCATTTTTGAGTTTTCGACTCAATGGGCGTCTAGCCTATTATTTTGGCCACTCGCCAAATGCTACTAAAATGTTATTTAATGATGGTAGTTAATGCTGGGTGTTTCTGAAATTGGATTTCTTTTTTTTCACTGACTTGCAATGTTACGCTTGCCTTTGTATCACAAATAAAAAGAAGCTCCAATTCGCTTCTGTGTAAAAACTATATAGATTCTATGAAGATAATTTTTTCAGACAAGTTCTGCTGTCGGAGAGCATGTCCAGATCCAGCAGCAGTCGAAGTGCAATTTCTGATGCTGTTTTGGGAGGTGAGAGAATCTGAACTTAGTTTCAACAGATAAGAAAACTTGGCAAACATTCAGCGAACTATCTAGCGACTTACGAAAAGTATCTGTTTTAATGTTTTTATGCTGATTTGACAGGATCTATTTTTTATTCTTGCCGTATTTTGGAGAAAAGTGAAATCAGGTTTCTATCATCGATCGTTTCCTCTATTCAATAAATCGAACGATTTAAATAATTTCGACCATCTTTGAAAAATAGATGAAAACAAACCACGTTCAATTCAAATACAATTTCATATGTTTTACAATAATACAGTGTGTAATAGATTCAACAAGGGATGCAAATGCAAACAGCAAAAAACTAAAAACAGTGTCAGTGATTTTTATGCAGTGTCAGTGATGTGCAGTTTCTCGCTGGATCCGACCTCGTTTGTACTGGGAAGCGAGACAGGGGGAGTGTTCAAGTGCTCATTCAACCACACACCCAACAGCCGAATAGTTCACAGTCAGTTCTCTTTCTCTATTTATTTCAGTTCCTTTATTCAATTGACGAGAAGTTCCAGAATATCAATTTTTATCAGAAATCGGTGATTTTAACGAAGCAGACGCTTGTGTTGCGGGTTCATTCACGTAAATGTTTCTTCAGCAGTAAAATAAAGCTCTAGTTAAATGAGCAAGTGAGTCGCATGTGTTTTAGCCGCTTATTGAATTTCTAAAATTCAATTTTGAAATTCATTGTTGACTGGCATTTGTTGCTATAAGAGGATTTGTTAATTGCAACAATCCACCGTTCAGAGCTTGTACATAGAATTGCTTGGAAATTGGTTCAAGTATGATAGTTGGCTCCCTAGAAAAGAGAGCCTGTAACATGGGTCACCTCATTTTTTTTTGAATGCTCAAAAACGCAATCATTAAGCAGCTCGAAAATTTTAGGCGCATCATTGCATCTTCGGGGCCATCTACATTTTGGGAACGCACCTATTATGCTGGAACTGCTCCATCTGGCTGTTGGCTCTTTTTTAAACAACAGAGAGCTTGCGAGTTTGTGTTATATAACGAGTCACATTGGCAGTTTAATAGCATGTTTACGCTAGCGGCGTAGTATAATAGAACGACTATTCTTTTTTTCGACCTAAGATGCAAATATTGGTGCTACTTTTGCTGGCACCTTTGTCGTTTTGATAGCATGTACTTTGACATTCGATTAGTAATAATTTAACACAGTTGATGCAATTTTAATTCATCAAATGAACCGAAAAAAGCTATTTTTTTCAAACAACAGTACAATTCTTACACTTGCGCGCGTTAGTGTATTAGAACAAACCTTCTTTATTTGTCTTACCTAACTCGATATTAAAATTGTTCACTTATTTGGTGGCACTTTTGTTATAATCACGATCTGTACCATTGGAAAGTTCATAGCGTCTGTTCTCTGCTTGATTTGTGGTTAGTGTTTGTGATGTATTATGTGTCAGTAGCTGAGTGGTTAGAGCGTGAGACTCATAATCTCTAGATCGTAGATCGAATCCGAATTTTTTGAAACGAATTTGAGGCTTATTTCTACTTATTCTTTTTGCACTTAATAGAGCTCAGCTTCGCTTCTGTGTAAAAACTCGATTTCAGAAATTTTCCAGCCCGAAATATTTCGAAATATTTTCAAACGCCTAATTTATACGTAATTAGGGTTTATGCTTTCCAGTTTTAACATTCAAAGTCGTGTATATTTGTTTTTGGTGCTACCTTTGCAGCATTGCATGGGCAATTCGTTAGCATATGTAGCTACTGTCTTGGTGGCTAGAGTTAGTCAAATGTCATGGACCTGTGGCATAGGGTTGTTACTGAGTTGTTTTCACTTTTTTCCATCTCGTACCAAAACCTGTTTGGAACCAAGTAAACCCCCTTACGAGGGGGGCCTGGTCACCATTTTATATAAAAGGTTTCAGGACGTTGTTATTGACTATTAAGGATTTGAGCAGCATTTTATATTTATAGGGTTGTAGTTCACGACGGATTTTGTTGTCATCAGCGAACTGTTATCTTAAAACCCGTGTCTGCAAATCTAAATTTTGTAGCTCGAGCTTTTTTATAATTGAAGTTCCGGTGCGAATTGTGGGGGTGTGTACAGTAAACCGATGTGTCAGTAAATTACCAGATCAGGAAACCGAATTACGTAATAATTACATCAATCGCGGAATGAGAGATTTATAGAAAATTTTTTCCCGTTATTAGAACAATAATTTTAAAACTGAGGGGCTCAAGGTAAAAGTTATTTTATTTCATTTTTTTATTCAAATTCTGTTTTGAGGAGCAATACGGTCATTTTGTAAAACTCTCCATTTCTAGCTAATGTGATTACCTAATTGAATCATGAGTTTTCTGTTTTATGATCTGGTCCGCCCGTTTTCGGATTACTGGTACATTGATTTTCTGACCTGTTGCCGAATTTTGCTTCAAAAATCGACCCCTACAACCAGTGTAAAGTACAAAGTGAATTATTTCGCATTTATATTTATTTTATTTGGATCAATAAGCTTGGTTCAATCCATTTGGAATGATTCTGAGCCGTATCAATTCGCCACATTTACTAGCGTTGATAGAAAACGGGAAATTTCGCGTGCAATAATTACCCCGAATAGGCCAAATTGGAATTTTTTAACCCCCCTACCATTTAACATGAATTAAGCTCAATTTAAAATATACCCTGGGTTGATTAAAAATCCGAAGTAAAGACATTTATTCAAGTTAGTGGTTTCCGTTTTTTTTTTTCAGTTAATTTTAAATTCTTTTGCTAAAAGGAGTGCAAATTAAGCTCTCAGATAACACAGACTAACAAATGTGGAATTGCATCTTGAAAAAATTGCCTTTCGATCTATTACTCTTTGGATGCGCTTTTAGCAAGGGTATAAGGTTACGCAATCGGGTACTAGACTCTTTTTCCTGTTAGCAACTTTTGTCCACAGGACTTACTTCTGGACTCCTTCACAAATTCTCTTTTCTTCGTCCTCTTTGCGATTCTTACTCCTCTCGGTTGCAAATAATAAGCATGGTTGAGTTTGTTATTGTAAATATCCATTGCTTTTTTTTTTTTTTTTTAATTTTTCATTATTTTTATGTTCAGCTCTGGATGACACAAAATTCTGAAAATCTTAATAGAAATTAGAGTAGAGTTCAAGTTTTTCATGACAACCATTTTTTTGGCTTTTCGTTTTCCTTTTTTTTCGCCTTGATAAGTTTCCGCCTAGATTACATCGGTTTAATGGCCGCATATTGCGCCTTTCGATGGGAGAAAAAAGTTTGTCTGTGTTTTGAGGGTGAGGAAGGCTTAATAACTTCTTATTAGTCTTTAAAAAAAATTGTGTGTTTTTCATTTTCCTTTCTTTCATCTTGATGGTTTTTGGCCTTGATAGGTATTAAATCGGCCTATTCGCCATATATTGCATCGTTTCACGAGCTGTGTATGTGTTTTGAGGGTGAGGGGGACTTAATAACTCTTTAATAGTCTTCAAAAAATTTTCCGCGTTTTTTTTTATTTTCCTTTTTTTTGACTTTATAGGTTTCGGCTAATAATATAGTGGCCGTATATAGTGGCTTCGCCTCTGTGTAAGAGATAGTTTTTGATGGGCTCAAGTGACGTCAAAAATGATTATACAAGAAGTCGAAGTTGGTTGGAATAAAAAACCCCGAGCGTAAATATTCCTTAAAGTTGCGAGGAATGACGTCAATTTTTTATCACAAAAAACTCTTGTTGCAGTAGTAGAGTTGTTTAAATTTAAAATAACGAGTGATTGTCACTTATTTATTACGTGTTCACATTTGTTCCAACCAATTCTTGCATAAAATAGTGTTTTTTTTTTCGTTAACATTTGTGCTGCATACTGTTGGCAGTTTAATAGCATATTTTCTCCGTTTTCCCTGGCTAGTTGGTGCCGGACATCAATGCAAGGGGACTTTAAGCCGAGTCTTAAGATTAGAGACTGGAAGCCGAAATTTTTCTCCAAGTCTTTAAATTTTTTACAGCGTTTCTCCAGTTTAAACTATCTTTGAGATATTGTTTTTTGAGTTCATGATTTTTTTGTCTTTGAAACATTTTCTCAACCTTTCTTAAGCCTTTTCTTGGAGTTTTGTCGCTTGCTTGTGTTTGGGAAGTGCAGCTTCACCTCAGTTCTAAATTCGAGATCCACATTTTGGATCTCGAATTTAGAATTATTCAAGCATCCAAAATGACGCTCCTTCAAAATATTAGAGTATCCATAGATTTATTCGAGCATCGTGTTTTTCGTCCAGGTATAACCCAGCAAGACGTCCAATTCAGTTCTGCAGCCCAGCTGGGCTTAGAGAGCCACTTGGGTCCGGTGACTTGGATCTCAGCCAGTCCCTTCCACTGGAAGATCATTCTCACTGCGTCCGCAGACTGCACTATTCGACTGTACAACACTCTTCAGGTTCGTTTATGTCATTGAATTGATCAGTTACACTTGTACTTAGGAGTGTTTCGTATGTTAGCTTTTTAAAGAGTCGGTGAACATAGTTCAGACTCTTATATAGGTCGTGATGATGTTATTTTCCTTTAATCAGGAAAAGTCTGTAAATAATCTAATAACTACAGAGCTATAAGGCCATAATTTTTTCCTTCGAAATACGAAAGTTGAAGTTTTTTTTTAAAAAAAACAAATAAGTTTTTTTTGCTTTCATTGACTCTTTTCCAAATTCACGTTGGCCATGTTTTCCACTGTTAAACAAATATATGTATGCCAAATTTCAAAACATGTGCTATTGTCATTTAGTAGCAACGACAGGTATGAGGAAACGGATCTGTTCCAAGAACGAAAAAATTGAAAACTAAAAACGTAAAACTTTGGTGCACGGCGCAGCAAAAAAAGTACGACAAATATTTAGAAACGACTTGACACTGGCTAAATATACCTTTCGTTTTACCGTTTCCTCATACCTGTCATTGCTACTAAAGGAAGGATTTCTTTTAATCTGAAATGAGAACTTTTTATATTATTGTAAATTCTAAAGTTTAAATTAAGTTGAATAGGTCTTTATGAAGTTTGAAAGATGACAGTTGAAGATTTTCATTCGTTTGCTGTGTAAAACATGAGAATCGCTCTTGCCAGAAGAGGCAAAAATCGAAATTCTGTTAACTTATCAGAATTCAGTATTATGAAGTCTCAAATATGAATGCTGAAAAATCATTCGATTTGGTTTGGGACTGTTTATAGGACGTTGATTGGTTGAAAACTTTGCTGTCGGTTTTTCTATCGGTTTTTCTATCTGTCGAGAAGCGTTACGTTCATTGATTTCGTTCGAAGAATTTTTGCTCCAATTGTTAATATTTTGAAATAAATGCCGAAAAATAAAAAGTAAAACTGGACAGTTTTAAGGACGTTAATTGGTTGAAAGTGTCTCAACCCCTTATGTATGTAGGTTGAAGCGTGTCTGGTAATTAGAACAAGCGAGCCAATTAGTTGTCTGGACTGGTCTCCGGTTCGCCCAATGGTGTTCGCTGCAGTCACCACCCACAACCACCTGCTCCTATTCGACCTCCTCAGCAGTCGTAGCTCCCCCACTCATCAGGTGTCAATGCACCCCAAGGCCAGAACTGCCACTTCAAACTTCGGATCTGTTGTGAAATTCAACCCCAAAAGGTAAAAAGTTATTTTAGGACACTTTCCTTTTTCTTACCCGTTTCCTTTTTTTAGTAAAACGATTTTCCGCCTGGCTCAATTGTAATGAAATTTGATGTGTGGTCTAATGGTTAGAAACTAAAATTGTTGCATGGGTTGTGCGATCGGTTTCCTGAATCTAAATGCACTATAAAGTATGTAAAAGACTATAAAGTTTATGAACTTAGCTTAATTGTTTCGAATGAAAAAGATAGAAGAAGGTAATAGCTACTAACATGCATAGAAGACCTAAATTTCTTCTTGACATGACTGCAGATTATCATCATTCGGTCCCGTCTGAATAAATGATGATAAATGAGTGGGCTTGGATTTATGGGGCATTGAAAGGTTTATCCACAAAATATCTCCCTTAATCGATTTGGGGGTGGAGAAAAAATGGATTGTCCAGGAAATAACTTTGAGTATAGCCATAGCCTAGATATAAATAAATTTAACAATTTTATCGGAAAATTGGCTGAAAATACATTAATTAAGCAAAACAGTGCTTTGGGAGAGCTCGAAAAATCAATTTGGTCGACCTAAAAAAAAAAGGTCGTCAAAATTTTCGAATTTTTTTTGAAAATCCGCCCCCCTCGAGAAAATCCTAGATCCGCCCCCTGAATTAAGGTAATTAACAACATTCAAGTGCAATCCCCATAAAAATTGAGAAAATCAAATTGATATGTGCGTTACTTTCACGGATATTTTTTCAAAGATATTACGTTGCTGTGGGAAACATTCTACGGTCGGCCATAAATGTGATGGGGGGGGGGGGGGGGGGGGTCATCGTCATCGCATTAAAATGACTCAGTCAATAATGTCTTTGTGAAGTTTTTATGAATTTCAAATTTTAAACTTGCGATCATTAAATCTAGAAGTTGATGCTCATAATCATCCGTGTTCGTGTTTAGATCTGACCTAGCAATAACAGGCGATTCTCTCGGTCAGATCAAACTATGGTCTATTCCACACCTATTGACCAAGACAAGCGAGTCAAATGAACTAGAACTTCTTGAGAAGATTTGCTCCATTGACAACAGCATCCACTGAATGGAACACAAGACGGAACAATGTTCTCTGTTTATATCGATCATTTAAATTGAATGAAAATGTATATGAAAACCAGTGTAAATTGTTAACTAATGTAAAAATGTATGATAAAATTGATAGAGATTCATACTTTTTAAATATTAATTTCTTCAATTTGAATCTAGACTAAGACTCGAGCTTGTCTCGTATACTTGTAGTTTCGGATTTTTTTTTATAGTTGAGTGAGTCACGATTGAAAAGGGTGGGTGGAAATTCTGTGATTGTGGAGACAGCTCTTCAATAAGTTAAGACAGAATGCTGGAGTGTCGCGGCCAAGTGCGGCGAAACTTTCGCCGAGTGATATTTTCACTAAGTTTGTTTTAAGAGCGTTTGATATTTTTTATGTAAGTTTTGCGAAGGACCGAAACTTTCCTAAATCTGAATGGAATTCATTTCTAAATAGCTACTAACAAGCATAGAAGACCAAAATTTCTACCTGACATAACTGCAGATTCAGAATCGGATCAAGTTAACATTCTTCCCACTTAATAGGTCGAATAAGTCTCAAATTTGTGCCCGTCAAAACCACATTCGTGTACTGCAGCCAAATGTTTGTTATAATACCAAGCAATTATACAATATTAGCCGCTCCATATCGGTTTAAGGGGTTTGCAAATGACATTGGATCGGATTAAGGTGTTTTTGCTTATCACATTCTTTTAATTGATTTCAAATCAGTTTGCTGAACGGAAGGAAGTTAAGCTGTTTTTAACAAACCTAAAAATGGAGGGATAAAAAGTGATTGACCAAGATTTCTTTCACATACTAGACCCGTCTCAGCCATCGTTTGGTCGATTCTAAAATTTGAAAAACTACTATTGAAAGTGTATGAAATTTGTTTTTTTTTGGCCCTCGGAAACTTCGATTTGAGATTTTGGGTGCAATCGAAAGGAAAGGTTTTGTGAAGCTCCCTTCCATAAGTGGCAATGCCCGCATTTTTTACACTCGACAATGGCACATTTTTATTTTCTTGACCGTTTTGGAAACTTCCTGACTTTTCTCGATACTTATCCTGAAAAATCTGATAACAAGGATTTATCGAAACAACAGGTTGTGGGAGGCCTCGCTGTATATGAGAAATTTATGGCCTTCGGAAAAGTAGCAGTTTTTTGAACTTGGACCGTTTTTGGAAAAATTTTCCTTACGTTATCCTAACCCTATCAAATTTGAGATATAAGATTCAATCGAACGAAAAGGTTGCGAGAATTGGTCCCGCAGAAGGGGTGTTTTCCTAATTTTTGAAAAAAAAAATTTATGTCCTTCAGAAAGTTCCAATTTCTCAAAAATTTTGTTCTTATTTTAGTAGAGAAACAACTAGGGTTTTGGGTAAAGTCCAATGTTTGAAATTTTTTAATTATTCTTTTCATCGATCATCAGTTCAACAAATTCAAAAATTATCAAACAGATATTAACGGGATTTCGGTTCAAGGAAAACAAAATTTTTACGCTCGCACAAAATGCTTTAAATCTTACTAGAAATTCTAGTTTTTCATGACAACAATTTTTTTCGAGGGGGACTTATTAACTTAACTCTTGTTGATTTTTTTCGGCTTACAGTATTTTTGATACTTATTTCACATTCCATTGTCTTGCCATGTTTTTTTATAGGAAAACTAGCCTTATTCGTTTTGATAGATCTATTTTTTTTTCGACAATTTCAATCTTTTTTGTCATTTTTCTTGCTCTGTATCGCAAGTGATGAGACGCTAAGCCTCGCCTCTATGCATTACTCTTGCAATTAGATTAGCAAGCGTTATCAAATCGGAACAAAGACCTTTCTTGGTTTACGAATAGTTTTAAAAATCAATGCGTTCCAAGATAGTAATTGCGTTCCAAAAAATGTTACTGAAATTTCATAGTTTTTTTTCACAATTTTTTAAGGTTTTCGTTAAAATTTTCAAATTTTGATTCTAATTGCAATATTTTGGAAAATATTATAGATGCTAGTATTGCGGCAAAAAAAACATGTTACGATGTTCCAAAAATACGAAATACGTCGATGTTTTTCACAATAAATGCTTCTAAGTTGATATTACGAAAACCTTAAGAACTGTTAGAGTCTGTCACTTACTATATAACCATATTATTGCGTAAAACTAGCTTTGACAGTTAGTTGTTCATCTCTGAAGAAAGATGGCGATCCATGAATATATTTTTCAGAAAAATGTTAATTTGAAGATTAATAGTCTCTCTTCGACTTAGCAGCTATGGATTACGACGTATTCGAATCCGAACCGGAGCCGGTGGTACACGAAGCCGACCAGGAAGTCGGTCGAAAAGCGTTCCAGTTCATGAACACACTTCGCAAACAGCATAAATTCTGCGACGTCACATTAAAAGTGGGACAGCTCAAAATACCGGCTCACAAAGTGGTGCTATCCAGCAGCAGTAGATACTTTTGTGCAATGTTTACCGGACCCTGTGCGGAAAGTGACCAGAACATAGTTGAACTTCTAGACGTAACAGAAGGCGCGATTACCCTGCTTATAGACTATATTTATATGGGTAGAATTGAAATAAAAACAAGCAATGTGCAAAGTTTGCTGCAGGCGGCATCCATGTTCCAACTGCAGGATGTTGTGAATGCATGCTGTAAGTTTCTAGCCGATCAGTTGCACCCTTCGAACTGCCTGGGCATCAATGAGTTTGCAGACATTCACACTTGTGACGAACTGAAGAGCAGCTCCAATAATTTTATAGGTGGCGAAATGTTACTAAAGGTGGTTGTTTGGTAGTTAAATGAGAAAAATCTTTTGCAAACATGTGCGGTTTCACTATATAATAATATAAATTTTCATAAGCAAATAGAAAAATCAAAACATTATTTGGTTGAAAAAAAAAACGGTTAATGTAAAAGAAATTTTGATTGCGAACATGATAGTTAAATTATTTCCAAATGCAATAAAAGAATTATTTGTAACAGTTTGCTTCTGCCTCTTGTTTAATACATTTCGCCATTTACTAGAGGAGAACTACACTGCCGTGAGTCAGGAGGAGGAATTCTGCCATCTTAGCTACCAGAGGCTGGAATGTCTGCTGTCCAGTGAAAACATACAGGTTTATAATTACACTTAATCTGTAGCGGATTTAGGTGCGGTGATGGACGCCGCGCATGCACTGGAATTCGACAGTATCTTTCAAAAGGTGGAAAGACGTCGTTTTGGCTATAATTTTGCAAAAATTTGATAGCGTCGCCGAAATTTAACGTAGTTTGGGGTTTTTGGTCTTTCAAGAGAGCTCACGAAAAGAAAAATGTATTTGATTGTCTTGAAAACAAAGATGCCCATCTTAAAAAGACATGAAATGAAAGGTTAAGCAAAAAGTTAATTGGCCATAATGTTGGAGACAACGCTCAATCTATAAATTGAGAGCCATACGAACTGTTTGGAGTGTTCCGGTTTACCGCTGGTGCTTCATTTTTAGGAGTCGATGAACGTAGTTCAGACTCTAATAGGTCGCCATGATGTTTTTTTTTTCAAGAAAATCTTAAAACAAGACAGTATTTTTTTGTTTACTTTTGTTCTTTGACTTTTTTGACCTGCCTGTTGGCTATGTTTTTAAAAAGCATTGCTCGACGTTGATTTATCTTTCGAAAACATTGATTTATATTTCTTAACCCAAAAGCAGAAATGCAAATGAAAGCAGGCCTTAAAACACGCCATCATCTTGAAGATCGCGCTCATCATCAAGAGCTAAAATTTGCTTCTCTAGCAGTACGAAGCAGTGAAATGTTTTGAAATCCCCGTATATTATGAAAGAGGGGAGTTTAATTAGAATCAATATAAATTTTCATGCTGCATGCGAACTTTCAAGGAACAGTTCGATACACATTCGTAAACATTGAGTCCACCAGCGAATTTTTTTTTTGGGGGGGGGCACCAGCGGATTTTCGGCTGACTTCCCTAAAAAATTTTAAAGGCGTCTTTGGCACCAAAGTATATTAATTGAGGAGGGAGCGCGCTCTGAAAAAACGCGATTTTTTGGTTAAAAATTTCCAAAAAGTGCGTAAAAACGCCTTTTTAAGCCCATTTTTTCAAAAACTTGCTTGCGGCGAAGAAAATTTGGTAAACATGGGGTCTTTATAGTGATTTGGGAGAGCAAAAAAAAGGTCGAAAAAATTTTCGATTTTTTTTTTGAAAATCGGCCCGCCTCTCGATCTAGCTAATTTCCGCCCTTTGAGAATAGGGAGGTTACAGAAAAAAATCACTGCTTCGCTCTGCTTTACACCCTCAAAGTTTTTATGTAAATTGCAGGTGTGTTCGGAGGTGGAAGTTTACAATTCTCTGATGAGGTGGGTCAAGTATGACCTTGAAAACAGAAAGGGACTCTTACCACTTCTACTCAACAAAGTTAGTCCAACTCAAAATGAATCTGATTTACTGCAACGTTGGTCCACGCTTCTTTTTCTTTGGTAAAGTAAGGCAAACTCCGCTATCGTTCAGCAAAAGTGTAACGGTATAAATGGGATAACTTTACAGAAAAAGTGCAAATCAAAAACAGCATTTGAAATTCAAAAGAGCTTCACTGTGATATGTTGTTTCTTCAAAATTTGAAAAATGGTGAAAATATTCCAATCACTTTTTTTCGGTTCCCTTGTTTTACATTTTTCCAACTGTCTGTTGGCAATGTTTTGAATTTGAACTTGTGGTCGGAAAAGCAGATTGCACTAAAGTATCTGAAATATTAAGACCAGATAGGCAATGGTTGAGCTTACTTCATCATTTTCTTCTTCTAACAAATGTTAAGCAGTTTTGTGTGCATTACCTGAAATAATTTATTGTTGTGTTTTAAGGTGAAACTGGCAATGTTGGACGTGACATTTCTGGTGGATGTTGTGGAGAGGGATGAGTTGATCTCGAAGGAAGCCCAGTGCTGGCAACTGGTCAACAGAGCCAAAAACTACCACCTCCTCCCTCAGAGGTATTATTCCCCTTTCTAATTAGTTAGTTTTCCCATTTTTTGTTTTGTGATAGGAGCAAGATGAGTCCAAACACAAAATTTTTAGTATTGAACGAGTATTTCTTAGTCTAAACTGCCAGCTAAAGATAAAAGGTTCATTTATTTGTAATGAACTGGATTTAATTGACCAGTTATTACTATTTAAAGGGTCCTCCCAACCAACAACTCCTCTGTCACGGCCACGCCTACTCTCGGTGGAGGCAGTCCCCCAAACGGCAGCAGTACCATCTCAAATGTTTCAACAAACAACCCCCCAGGCACAGAGATGATCAGATTATTTGATTGTTTTAACACTAACGAACTTTTTTCAACTTGAACCGAATATAATTTTAAGTCAACGGCTTAAAAGTGAAACTATGTTTGTGAAATGTCTTTAATTATCAAGCGATTGTTGAAAAACTACAAGAATTACTTCGTTTGTTTCAAAAATCATGTTTGTGACTGATTTAGTTCGTGAGGCGACAATTCGTAACAGGCGACAATTTGTAACAGGCGACAATTCGTAACAAGCGACAATTCGTAACAATAATTTAAGCGGCAAACTCCAATTTATGAACACTATTCCTCTCGTGCCGGATTTAAGTGCAGCGGAGCGGGCGTATTCTACTTGCCAATACCTTGTTACAAATTGTCGGTTGTTACGAATTGTCGCTTGTTACAAATTGTCGCTTGTTACGAATTGTCGCTTGTTACAAATTGTCGCTTGTTACGAATTGTCGCTTGTTACAAATTGTCGTCTTTTCCTATTTGTCGCCCCTACCGTTTCTTTTATTACTGTTTTATTTCAGTAAGATAGTAATTAGAAGTTTTTTGAGTAGTTCTAATCAAAGTGTTTAACTGGTCATCACTGACTGCCTGTGCGTCATCCAGGCTCGACAAACCCCAATCCGTCTCTGCTATTAACCGGACAGACTCACTCGCCTATTCCGACAGTGATCAACAACTCGGTCAATCTGCTGGGCGGCAGCAGTAGTCATCCTATGGGAGCAATATGGAGCAGCAATGACCTCTACCAGTTCCAGCCGAGGAAGTCGACACTGGGGCAGATATTCTACATAGGCGGCATGGACTCTTCAGGTTTGGAACTAGGGTCTGAACTGTGAGGGTCCATTACGTAAATGGCTTTTATATTTCATGACATAGTCTCTTTTTTATCAACAATTTTTGTACACAAGAGGAAAAAGAGTCCTCGGTTTATAGTAACATGAAGTTCAAGCGGCTCTTGAAATCTGCTCCGATTAATTTTAGGAAAAATAAAATGCAGTTTTTGTAGTTCATGTTTCTATGGCTAAACATTACATTTATTTGTTTATCACAATGACTTTAAACTCACTTTGATTATGTGTTACGCGAACAAAGCGTATTTTTGGAGCCTTATTTTCAAAATTGAATTAACTTCAAATGGTTGCTTTAATTTCAAAAGTGAAGTTTGAATTTGTCTTGTCCTCTTCAATAAAGCGTAAGATGGCCATTAATGGAAATCGTAGCTGTGTGACTCTTGAGATGTCTTATTCCCTTGCATGTTGCAGGATCCCTGAAGACTGTGGAGAAGCTGGATGCTGGAAGTGGCAGCATAGTGATTCCGATGGCCTCCATGAATGTGGCCCGAAGTGGGATTGGAGTGGCGGTGCTGAATGGACTTATCTACGCAGTCGGAGGCCACGACGGGACCTCATATCTCAACAGGTATCTACCTACCGACACTTCCCTTAAAGCTCATTTGATGCTATTACCAGTAGTTTTATATAATAATTTAAGAAGAGCAAAATATTTTTAATGCGAAAGTTTCAGCCATCATGTCAAATCGTGGATTTAGAAACATCATGCCAAAGCACTTGGAAATTGTGAACTTACGTAATCCATGGAGAAAAATACCCCTTTGTTAGTTCGCGTTCATTTTTGATTATTTTTTAAATAAACCTCTGAAACTTCTTATTTTTCTAGAATAAATATACTATAATTTTTTTAAATCAAGAATCACGAGTTGGATTGAATTCAATTAGTGAGAGTATGGTTGTGTTGTGTTCAGTGTGGAGTGCTATGACCCGAGTGTGAAGAAGTGGAGCATAGTGGCGAACATGAACTGTCCCAGGAGGTATGTGGCAGTCTGTGCCTACAACGGACTCCTCTATGTCGCAGGTGGCTACAGTGGAATCACCGTACTCAACTCCGTCGAGGCAAGTCACACCACAGCCACTGAGCTCTTTTTCTCCACCCCCCCCCTCTCACATCAGCATCAATTTTACGGTGTAACGACGTGTTTTACAAGGTTGGGTATGAAGACCAAAAATGTTTGTCGTGGCCTAATTATTCCGCCAAGTTTTGTAACAATCGGAAAATGTGAAAAAAACAATAACTTGTAAAGTTTTGCCGGGGGAGGAAAAAGAGCTGGCCATTGTTTCAATTTTTTTTTTTCAGTTTATATTCTGTCTTTACTCGACTGCACCGCAATATTATGACATGAACGATGTTGAAAACCATACATTTTCTGATGGAGGGCAACACGCATCACAGCGCTTGCAAGAAGGCGACTTCATTAGTCAATATTCTTCATTAATTTAATAATCTTCATTATTTTCACTCTGCCTTGAATTATCTTAGTTTGAACTAAACAAAAATGTTAGTTCAAATTTGATTTCTGATCCGTTCACATGAATGACTTGGTATAGAGAGAGTTTTTCCATGTTTTTAACACCAAATCAAAAAAAAATTATGCAATGAAACATTAAATTTAACGAGTCATTTTAAGGGTTTGACGTTGAATATTGTCATCATATGATTGATAACAAACATATATTTAATCTCCTCATCTGCTTCTTAAAAGACACAAAAAAATCACACACATGTACACCAAAAAAAATATTCAATCAAACAATCTACACTAACCAAAAATGCAAAAACACGAAGACTTATTCTGAGACGGAAAATATCCACACTATACAGAAAATTGATATTTAGTCATCATCGCTTTTCTCAACAGGTGTATGACCCAGACAGCAACTGCTGGCGCTACGTGTCCCCCATGAACTGCAGAAGACGTCACGTGTCTATGGCCCTGCTGAACAAACGTCTCTATGCAGTGGGTGGCCATGACGGTATCTCCTACCTGAAGAGTGTGGAGGAGTATGACCCGAGCACTGACACCTGGAAGTTTGTCAAGACTATGTACACCAGACGGGGAGGCGCAGGAGTGGCCGCTCTGGGGGGAAAACTGTACGCCATCGGAGGTGATTCACCTACCGGCTTGGGCTAAACCCCCTGCCCCATTTTGAAAACCATTGGAAAAGGTTTCAAATTTAACATGGGCGAAGAATAAGTGCTATTAATATAGGCTGAAAATGACTGTGAGTGCTCTATTTTATGGGCCATAATGAAGTGCCATGGAGTTGATTAACTCTTGCAATAATTTTACAGTATTTCTGTAGAAGAATGAATTAATATGGGTTTGTCTGAAGCATCTCGCAAGACCAATATTCTACTCGCACGTTTCTGGGAAGATTTTCATTCCAGCTTGCGGAGTGCTAGCTTTGAGTGTTGTGATTTCATGTAATATATTGTAGGCTATGACGGGAACTCGAACCACTCTACGATGGAGAGGTACCACCCAGAGGAAGACAGATGGAGTCTGGTGGCTCCTATGAGCAGCTGCAGGAGTGGACTGGGAGTGGCTGTCATACAGGACAAAATATATGCTATAGGTGAGGTATTTATACCTATAATGCTCATGCTATTATTAGTCTTCAAATTTGTTCAGGTAAAGTTAAATGTTTAGCAGATTGAGTTTTTGTTTCTTTAAGTTCACTTCCAATTTATGGTTTGATGACAAATTATCCCTTACCTTTTTATCCCAAGCGAAGGTATCCCAGTCAAAAATAACCCAGAAGTCTGAATAGCCCAGGACGAATTAGCCCACGCAAATTAAAATGTCCCGTCTGAGGAATCCAAACAATTAGAATATCGCAATAGAATAATCAAAGAAATGAAAACTAAGCTGCCGAAATTGAACGAACTGATCAAAGCAATGCTAACTTTGAAAAAGCGCGTGAAATTAAATTCAGTTCGAAGCGTACAAATTTCAACGCACGTTCTAAATCCACCAATCTTTTGAGCTATCAAAGTGTGATGGTAAGACTTTCTAAGCTCACTTGGCATTATGGTTGAAGAATTTGACTCTTGGTCAAAAGATCAAACGATCGATTCACGGTGGATCAAAAGTTTTATTTCGAAATTGATAAAAATTGTCCCCAAAACCCCCCTGTACTGGGTAACCGGTATGGGGTGCGGGTTGAGGGAAAAGGCAAAATTATTGTTGTCATCACATCCCAAAAAATGGTACCTCTACGATGGCAATAAAGCCAAAAACTTTATGATTTATGGAAAATCAATTACAAATGCCTCAAAATGCCGACAATTTGAGAAAATTATGCCGACAATTTGACAAAATGACATCTAGGAGAGTGTCAAGTGAGCCAAAGCTTGAACATAATTGACTATATCTGAGTTTTTGTAGAAGTTAGTCATCATTCGGACTTTTCATTGAGTTGTCGGTACGTTCTACAGATTTTATTGGTGGTACCACTGGTTGCTTTCAAAATATCGAACTTCTGATTGTAAGAATTAGGCTGAATTATTTCTAAAAACGTATGAATCGAGGGGTAGCTGCCCTGGAAAAGCGATGTAACGCAGTTATGCCGGCCTTCAACTACATTGGTTGTTCGAATGAGACCTGCCGCCTAGTTGTAATGATTCCATAAAGCTGGGGGCGGGGGCAAGGGATCACGCTGTTCTCGGCCAATTTTTTCTCTTGTAAAATAAGTGTTCTGGAAATATGACGCGAGCTTATCACTTTTCTCGAAGACATCAATTGAAATGTCAAACTGATCGGCAGCTTGGCAAATTTCGTCTGTGACAAGAGTAAACGCAGATTTGACATATGAGAAAGGAACGAAGCTTAAAGCTGAGATCATTATTAAGGTTAAGGCTAGCTTAGCTTAGCATTGTTTTCATAGGTTTTTTTTCGACTTAACTCTGAAAGCTTGCGATGTAAGCTTTGGCATAAATGAAAATGGTAACCTTTGAGATCAGTTTTATATAGGGACGAAAATGCATTCAACGCAGCTTGTTCGAAGTCAATGAGAATTTTTTCGGGTACGTCTCCAATGAGGCTAATCAGGGCTTCATGAAACCTGTTGTAAGTGGACTCCTTTTTGTTGCTAGGCAAAAGGTAAACGCAGGGGGGATAAAAGTCGCCAATCTGGTTATGTACTTTGTACAACTGATAAAATTTAGACTGACTCTTAAAATCTTAAAAGTTCCATCAAGAAGCCGAACTTTGCTATGAACGCGAAGAGCATTTAAGTTTCCCATGTCCCATGAAATAAGAAATCGCTCACTGTCTTCTCTTCCGCTATAATGTTGACGAAAAGGCAAATATTTGTCGGGAATGTTGAGGTGACGGTCGGTCGATGAAATCACTCTGAGTGGTTCTTGCGTTTTGTTCCCATGGAGGGTTCTTGTCAGGGCTGCACGTGAAGAAAGTGAAAGCTGAATTGCCGGATTATCGTTCAGTCTTGAGGCTAGCTGCTATCAACTGGTTGTTTACAGGATTGATTTGCGATTTTGCTGTTTCATTCAACTGACTAACTATCTGCCTGGCTTCTACGCGACCGGGGTTAAACTCGTGGCTTTGCTCGTGATTGAACGAAATAATGGTTTCGTTACAAGTTACAAGAGTCATTGGGAATCTATGTGAACGCCATTTTGCACAACGCCAGTGAGTGGTAGATTTGGTGTCTGGATTTTTAGTGAACTCGTGTCCATCCAAGATAAGCAAAGCTTTGCCTTGTTGAGTTTTACCGTGGTTTAAATCTGTCATATTGGTGTTCATTATTTTGGTGCTATTTGTGTAATTATATATTTTTGCGCTGTGTTTCGTTATCAAATTTTTCTCATTTATGACTCCATTAACAGGTTGAAAATTAAAATTTAATCCCTAGAAAATAGTCTTTACCATTAGCACTATCTCTAAATGTCGCCTTGAATTAATTGAGGCAGTTGAATTGAGTCTCTTTTTAATTACGATTTGGAGATATGCGCCACTCCTTGGTAATCTATATCATGAATCAATTTTTAATCCTTTATGGGATTTTTTCATTGACTTGGGTGGGCTATATTGGCTTGGGCTATTGTGTCCATTGGGATATATTGGTATGGGATTTTTTTAATGGGAGATTTTCGTTTGTTATACTTTTCCTGTCACCCAAATTTATTGGTTAAAAGAAAGGCAAATTACGCTCTCCAATTACGAAAGCGGACTGATCCAGTTTTCTCAAGTTAGGTTTTATTTATCAAAAAAGGTTCAATCATAAATTATTCCATAAGTTCAATGAGCTTCAATGCCATCTGTTTTTTTCGTCGAAAAATTTTTTTTGTTTACTTGCGTTCATTGACTCTTTTCCAGAATTTTGTTGGCTTTTTTTGCAAATTGAAAAATTCAGTCGGAATATAAAGGAATGGAATTCGATTAAAATATATAAAATGGCCGAAGTTTACATTTTTTGTGTTCAGGTTTTCTTTATTTTTTTTAGTTGCACAATTCGTCCATTGATTCAGTTTTTCTCAATTTTCAAATGGGTTTTTGCTACTGAAAAAACCTCTAAACGAAAAATCGATTCTCGTTAAGCTGAATCTTGCATCAGTACCCCTAAAAACTGTAGCTCACGATTATCTTTAACGCTAATGACATCTACTTTTTATTCTAGCAAGCGTAGTGTTTTAGTATGGCTACTTTTTGTTCTTACTTAACTCGCAAAAAAAATGTGCTCATTTGGTGGCTTTTTTGCGGTAATTAATCACGATCTGTAGCATTGTATATTTCATAGCATCTGTTTTCTTCTTTGTTCGTGGCTTGTTTGCCGAGCGGTAAGCCTCCCTGGCAAGGAGGGAAGCACGCGAGACTCCAAATCTCGAGGTTGCTGGTTCGAAATCGACTCGTAGCACAAGTTATACTAATTCGATGCTTATTGCTCTATCTGCAGAGCAGATTTTTGTAGTTTTTTTTTGATAATTTTTGCGAAGAGCAGCTTAGCTTCTGTGTCTTACGTGATGTTAACCGGACCTCCCAAAAAGTATTGAATTTGTTGACTGAGATCTGACCTGACCACTGTCGAGATGTCCGCTCGAAATAATTGAAATGCTATTTCGACTAAGTATTATCAGATTTGACCTAAAATATGAACAGAGGCGAACTTCTTCAATCAGTTTTGTATAATGTTTTTCGAATCGCTAGCGTGTTAGCTTTTTTTAAATACAGCAATCTTCATGATTACAGCTAATACTAATCAATTTTTGAAACATCTCAACCATCAAGTTTAGAAGATTTTTTCGCGAGTGAATGGATCTCAATACAAGATGATGTGTTACAGAAAAACTCTGTTCTGCCTTTGATTTCAGACATAAATTCGACTTTATTATGATTATTTTTGGACGATAAATATTTTTTGCTCTAGATAAATGGCGGTTCAATTTAATTCAGATAGTATCTAGGGTAGATTTTTTTTGGCATGACTGACTGTTATTTACTCCGTGCATAACCGTGTCTGAATTATTTTTTTTGTGGAATAAATAATAATTTCTACTTATTTAAAAGAAGTAATTTCTACTTAATTAAAAGAAGTTATTTCTTTGTTATAATGTTTGCATGTTTAGGAGGCCACGATGGAGTTCACTACTTGAACATAGTGGAAGTGTTCGATCCGAAAGTGGGCGAATGGCACATCAAGTGTCACATGATGACGTCACGAGCAGTGGCCGGAGTCGCAGTCTTATTCAACTCCATCCAACAACAACTGCAACAAAACAATCAGCAGCAGCAATTGCAGTCTGCCTCTAAGTTCTTTTAATAAAACTGTCAGAGTCGAAACATTTCTAGAAAAACTTCTCGAATGTTATATAACTTGTATGCTTATATTATATGAACTGTAAATTAAAATTTCAAAATCTGATGAGTTTTATTAGTAGATTTTTAAGACTGCGTTTAGTTTAGTGATTTTGACAATAAAAGCATAGTTTCTTATGTTCCGACTAGTTCAAAGTGGGAGGGAACTATAGTGTAGATTTTTCCAGCCGTTGTTGACTCGTACGGGTCAAGTGTGGTATCAGTCACTTAACCGTGATTTGGATTTAAAAGGTTAAAAAAATAATATTTGTTTTGAGAACTTCTCTAAACTTGTCGGCCTCTCTAAATTGTCTGCTTCTTTAAAAAATGTTGAAGTTTTTCAATCAACTTTTCTGTTTTCTTGTTCTTTCACATTTTTCCAACACCTGTAGCTACGTTTTTTTCTTAATTTGATTGCTAAAACAGTGGGGCGGGAACAACCGCAGCTACACACTCACAACAGATAATCATTAATTCATCTGTGTGATTTGTCAATACTATCTAGCAGTAGCGTGTTGAGGAGGGTGGGGGATGACCACTCTCCCTCAATTCTTGAGTATTTTTTTTACCAAAAGGGCCCACTCTATGAACATTTTACTATATATTTTGTGAAAACCAAGTATAATTTTTTAACAGCTCCTTTGCCACCTTATTTAAGGTTATCATGCGCCCAATTATGCGGCATGTTTTTTGACGGGTACCTGTCAAATCGAAAATTAAAAAAGCGCTAGTTTTCAAAGCTCAACTTAGCGCCTCAATTTGAGGCCTAATCTTTTGAACGCATTTTCACACCTCAATTTGAGGGGTAAAGTAAAATATTTACTCTTTCACGCCTAAATACTGATAACGCTTGTCAAAAAGTATACAAGCAAACCCAATTTGAACCAAAATCACGTTATTTAAAAGCTTACTACCCTCCATACTGTCATTATAACCTCTTATTTTCGATTATCAAGATCAACCATGCGGGAGAACTGGCTACCATAGCTGAATCTTCTGTTTATCCATAAAAAAGAAACATTTGACGTTGATGAAATCATCAAACGAGATTCGGCTTCAAAAACCGACGTTCGAAGTTTCTATAACGGTTGTACAAAATTTCAAAAATAACTGTTTTGTTGCTTTCGATAAATTTGTTCATTCGCTCTGTATTCAATACTCGATGAAACTTCTAATATCGATAGCACGGATGACGCAGACTTTGATAATTTCACTCAAAGCACTATAAGAAACTTTTATCAGATGGGTACCTATGTTCCGATAGTTTAACATTAAATAACTCCATAAAGATTGCATATGGTCATGACAGTTTTTTAACAAACGCAAAGGCTCCTAATTACACTTTTTTGGCGAAACTAGTTCTTTTGTTTTAGTAGGTTTAATTGTTTCATTTTCCAATTTTTTATACACTGCAGCAAATTCCTATTCATCATAATTTTCTAAACCTAGGAGTGAGTTAATAGTAGATTTTTTGTCCCTTCTTTGGGCATCTATGTGAACGCCATTTTGCACAACTCCAGTGAGAGGTAGATTTGGTGTCTCGCTTTTTAGTGAACTCGTGTCCATCCAAGATAAGCAAAGCTTTGCCTTGTTGAGTTTTACCGTGGTTTAAATCTGTCATATTGGTGTTCATTATTTTGGTGCTATTTGTGTAATTATATATTTTTGCGCTGTGTTTCGTTATCAAATTTTTCTCATTTATGACTCCATTAACAGGTTGAAAATTAAAATTTAATCCCTAGAAAATAGTCTTTACCATTAGCACTATCTCTAAATGTCGCCTTGAATTAATTGAGGCAGTTGAATTGAGTCTCTTTTTAATTACGATTTGGAGATATGCGCCACTCCTTGGTAATCTATATCATGAATCAATTTTTAATCCTTTATGGGATTTTTTCATTGACTTGGGTGGGCTATATTGGCTTGGGCTATTGTGTCCATTGGGATATATTGGTATGGGATTTTTTTAATGGGAGATTTTCGTTTGTTATACTTTTCCTGTCACCCAAATTTATTGGTTAAAAGAAAGGCAAACTACGCTCTCCAATTACGAAAGCGGACTGATCCAGTTTTCTCAAGTTAGGTTTTATTTATCAAAAAAGGTTCAATCATAAATTGTTCCATAAGTTCAATGAGCTTCAATGCCATCTGTTTTTTTTCGTCGAAAAATTTTTTTTGTTTACTTGCGTTCATTGACTCTTTTCCAGAATTTTGTTGGCTTTTTTTGCAAATTGAAAAATTCAGTCGGAATATAAAGGAATGGAATTCGATTAAAATATATAAAATGGCCGAAGTTTACATTTTTTGTGTTCAGGTTTTCTTTATTTTTTTTTAGTTGCACAATTCGTCCATTGATTCAGTTTTTCTCAATTTTCAAATGGGTTTTTGCTACTGACAAAACCTCTAAACGAAAAATCGATTCTCGTTAAGCTGAATCTTGCATCAGTACCCCTAAAAACTGTAGCTCACGATTATCTTTAACGCTAATGACATCTACTTTTTATTCTAGCAAGCGTAGTGTTTTAGTATGGCTACTTTTTGTTCTTACTTAACTCGCAAAAAAAATGTGCTCATTTGGTGGCTTTTTTGCGGTAATTAATCACGATCTTGTAGCATTGTATATTTCATAGCATCTGTTTTCTTCTTTGTTCGTGGCTTGTTTGCCGAGCGGTAAGCCTCCCTGGCAAGGAGGGAAGCACGCGAGACTCCAAATCTCGAGGTTGCTGGTTCGAAATCGACTCGTAGCACAAGTTATACTAATTCGATGCTTATTGCTCTATCTGCAGAGCAGATTTTTGTAGTTTTTTTTTGATAATTTTTGCGAAGAGCAGCTTAGCTTCTGTGTCTTACGTGATGTTAACCGGACCTCCCGAAAAGTATTGAATTTGTTGACTGAGATCTGACCTGGCCACTGTCGAGATGTCCGCTCGAAATAATTGAAATGCTATTTCGACTAAGTATTATCAGATTTGACCTAAAATATGAACAGAGGCGAACTTCTTCAATCAGTTTTGTATAATGTTTTTCGAATCGCTAGCGTGTTAGCTTTTTTTAAATACAGCAATCTTCATGATTACAGCTAATACTAATCAATTTTTGAAACATCTCAACCATCAAGTTTAGAAGATTTTTTCGCGAGTGAATGGATCTCAATACAAGATGATGTGTTACAGAAAAACTCTGTTCTGCCTTTGATTTCAGACATAAATTCGACTTTATTATGATTATTTTTGGACGATAAATATTTTTTGCTCTAGATAAATGGCGGTTCAATTTAATTCAGATAGTATCTAGGGTAGATTTTTTTTGGCATGACTGACTGTTATTTACTCCGTGCATAACCGTGTCTGAATTATTTTTTTTGTGGAATAAATAATAATTTCTACTTATTTAAAAGAAGTAATTTCTACTTAATTAAAAGAAGTTATTTCTTTGTTATAATGTTTGCATGTTTAGGAGGCCACGATGGAGTTCACTACTTGAACATAGTGGAAGTGTTCGATCCGAAAGTGGGCGAATGGCACATCAAGTGTCACATGATGACGTCACGAGCAGTGGCCGGAGTCGCAGTCTTATTCAACTCCATCCAACAACAACTGCAACAAAACAATCAGCAGCAGCAATTGCAGTCTGCCTCTAAGTTCTCTTAATAAAACTGTCAGAGTCGAAACATTTCTAGAAAAACTTCTCGAATGTTATATAACTTGTATGCTTATATTATATGAACTGTAAATTAAAATTTCAAAATCTGATGAGTTTTATTAGTAGATTTTTAAGACTGCGTTTAGTTTAGTGATTTTGACAATAAAAGCATAGTTTCTTATGTTCCGACTAGTTCAAAGTGGGAGGGAACTATAGTGTAGATTTTTCCAGCCGTTGTTGACTCGTACGGGTCAAGTGTGGTATCAGTCACTTAACCGTGATTTGGATTTAAAAGGTTAAAAAAAATAATATTTGTTTTGAGAACTTCTCTAAACTTGTCGGCCTCTCTAAATTCTCTGCTTCTTTAAAAAATGTTGAAGTTTTTCAATCAACTTTTCTGTTTTCTTGTTCTTTCACATTTTTCCAACACCTGTAGCTACGTTTTTTTCTTAATTTGATTGCTAAAACAGTGGGGCGGGAACAACCGCAGCTACACACTCACAACAGATAATCATTAATTCATCTGTGTGATTTGTCAATACTATCTAGCAGTAGCGTGTTGAGGAGGGTGGGGGATGACCACTCTCCCTCAATTCTTGAGTATTTTTTTTACCAAAAGGGCCCACTCTAAGAACATTTTACTATATATTTTGTGAAAACCAAGTATAATTTTTTAACAGCTCCTTTGCCACCTTATTTAAGGTTATCATGCGCCCAATTATGCGGCATGTTTTTTGACGGGTACCTGTCAAATCGAAAATTAAAAAAGCGCTAGTTTTCAAAGCTCAACTTAGCGCCTCAATTTGAGGCCTAATCTTTTGAACGCATTTTCACACCTCAATTTGAGGGGTAAAGTAAAATATTTACTCTTTCACGCCTAAATACTGATAACGCTTGTCAAAAAGTATACAAGCAAACCCAATTTGAACCAAAATCACGTTATTTAAAAGCTTACTACCCTCCATACTGTCATTATAACCTCTTATTTTTGATTATCAAGATCAACCATGCGGGAGAACTGGCTACCATAGCTGAATCTTCTGTTTATCCATAAAAAAGAAACATTTGACGTTGATGAAATCATCAAACGAGATTCGGCTTCAAAAACCGACGTTCGAAGTTTCTATAACGGTTGTACAAAATTTCAAAAATAACTGTTTTGTTGCTTTCGATAAATTTGTTCATTCGCTCTGTATTCAATACTCGATGAAACTTCTAATATCGATAGCACGGATGACGCAGACTTTGATAATTTCACTCAAAGCACTATAAGAAACTTTTATCAGATGGGTACCTATGTTCCGATAGTTTAACATTAAATAACTCCATAAAGATTGCATATGGTCATGACAGTTTTTTAACAAACGCAAAGGCTCCTAATTACACTTTTTTGGCGAAACTAGTTCTTTTGTTTTAGTAGGTTTAATTGTTTCATTT